ACTGCAGATCAGAACTCCGGGCGGCTGTGACTTGACCCTTATTCCAAGAAGAGAGTCTACCAAGGGCTGCCAACTAACCTCTGACCCAGTGGGGAGGATAGATACAAAAAAAGAAAGGGAAAAAAGCTTGAGAAATGATGTCAGGAAAGGGAGATGGGTTCTCTATGCTGTTAAAGCATCGTGCTAATTAGCAGTTACAGTTCTCTGTATTTTATTTCAAATATGCATATGCTGTCTAAAAAGAGGCACTCGGAGCTAACAAATAATAGCAAACAAATGAAACAGCACACTCCAGATTGCTCTGCTGCAATCCTTCCAATGAATCGAGTAGGCTGCTATCAGAATTATCCCCATGTTGCAAATGGCAGGGGTAGGATTGAGATGAAGAGACGACGACTTGCTTCAGATAGGCTATTTTGTGCATTCCCAGGCTAGGTGGGAAGATTTGAACCCGGGATTGCTAGGCTTGTGGCTTACATGCTTAGCCGCTATGCCCAGAAACTATGAATGGAGGTAAAACGAGTTTGGTTCACATTTTCACATGAGCCCATTGATTCACACTTCCCGAACCTGTACGTAAACCAAAACACAAAATTCTTTTGGAATTTGCAGCTCTCTGAATTTTGCACAGCAGTTATCCAACCCAAAAACACATATATTAGGGGAAAGTACGCTTTTTAAAAAAGGAAAATAGCATACAAACCGGTATTTTATGAAGGAAAACAGCATGCAAAAATGTCCACGTGAGGCAAGATTGCATGCAATGATGTGTATACTGGAATAAATTTGCACACAAATGCACATACATTTTCCTGCAGATTTTATTTAATTGCAAACTGATGCAGAAATGGAGCAGACTGCATTTACGATTAGAACGATGAGAAATGGAGAGAAGCCATCACACGCAAGCATGAAATCAATTCTAGCCTAGGAAGGATTGTGACACAATGCATTAGTTCAGGGGTCAGCAAACTTTTTCAGCTGTGGGCTGGTCCACCACCCCTCAGACTATGTGGTGGACCAGATTATATTATTGGAGGGAAATGAATGAATTCCAATGCCCCACAAATAACCCAGAGATGCATTTTAAATAAAAGGACACATTCTACTCATGTAAAAACACACTGATTCCCGGACCGTCCGTGGGCTGGATTGAGAAGGCGATTGGGCCGGATCCGGCCCCCGGGCCTTAGGTTGCCTACCCCTGCATTAGTTACTCTATAACATGATGTACGTATGTCTCCCTGTCTCACACCCACAAGCTTTCACAGTTATTCTGCAGATTAAAATTCAGGAGCGAGGACTTGGTCTATTTGGCTTAGCCCAGCAGTTTTCAAACTGCGTCCCAGAATTACCGGGCACTCCTCAGTGACAAGATCAGTCATGGCAGACGAGCTTCCATGAAAGGCTGCTTCGCCCACCACTTCCCCTGCAACATGCAAGTCACACAGAGCAATGCTTAGGCCTGGCAGGTCTGTACTCTGCATTACTGAGAATCTGCCCTGGAACCAGCTATAGCTGAACATGTCAAACTGGGTTTCTCTCATTTCTCAGGTCTTGACTTCAGTCCTCCAAATTTCCATATCAGTTTGCGTTGGGGGGCCGAAAAGTCCTCATGAAAATGCATCAGCATTTCAGTGGGAGCTTCTCCCAATATAGTGGTACCTCAGGTTACATACGCTTCAGGTTACATACACTTCAGGTTACAGACTCCGCTAACCCAGAAATAGTGCTTCAGGTTAAGAACTTTGCTTCAGGATAAGAACATAAATCGGGCTCCGGCGGTGTGGCAGCAGCAGGAGGCCCCATTAGCTAAAGTGGTGCTTCAGGTTAAGAACAGTTTCAGGTTAAGAACGGACCTCCAGAACAAATTAAGTACTTAACCTGAGGTACCACCGTATACACACTTGTGTCTAAACATTTTCACCATATGCATCCTTGTGCAAAGCATTCCCCCCTAATATAATGTGTTTTTGTACGCTATTTTCACCAGTGGATTTATTTACATGCACACTTTGCAGTGGTCTGTTGCCTTGTCGTTCACGCTACTCGGCTGGAGAACTGGAGAAGGGTGGGTTTTGAAGCATGGCTCTTGTGTGGATTTCATGCTCTTTATTCAGCCCATAGTAATGAGGAATGGAAGTTTCCCCGAACTGTCTGCTTTATATACATTGTTTACACAATGGGCCCCACATGATTGACTAATTCCGGGATTCTCTTGTAGGCCAATCAGGTTGCGGATTCACTTCCACCTGGAGTTGGATTGGGTGGCTCCTGCGGACCAATCAGACTGCTGCATTCTGAATCCTATTGTTCTAGGACCAATCAGACTGCTGCATTCTGAATCCTATTGTTTTAGGACCAATCATACCGCTGCAATTTGGATCCTATTCAACTCAGTACATAACAGCTTTGTTCCGTTTTGCAACTTGCATCAGAACGGGAACAGAACTGAATGTCTCCTCCACCCCTTCCCTGGGATTCGTTTATTCATTTATTACATTTAGATCTCACCTTTCTTTCACCATGAAACTGAAAGCAGCATACCTGTGGCCCCATCCAGGTTATGGCCAGACCTGTATAACTTTGGCAAGTTACATCTCCCTTCTAGGTTCTGGGATCATCCTGGGATTCTGTGGCTGACAGATTGCTTTGATAAGGATTCATACTTTAACAAACACAGAATGAGAGCCCTGTCAATTGTGATGTTTGCTGTCTTTCAAAGCAACTACTCTATTCCAAACTTAAAAATGGAAAGTGTCGTGCCGGTGGTCAGCAAAAGACTCTCTCAAGACAAATCTTTTTAAAATGTAGTATAAACACCGAGAACTGGCCTGCGAGTGCTTCAATTGGAGAACAGCCTTTACCAAAGGTGTCATGGACTTTGAAGATGCTCGAACTCAGGACGAAAGGGAGAAACGTGCTAAGAGGGAGGCACGCTTGGCAAACCCTCACCATGATCAACTGCTGCCTGGAAACCTATGTCCCCACTGTGGAAGGACATGTGGATCCAGAATTGGCCTCCACAGTCACTTACGGACTCATTGTTAAAATTGTGTTTATGGAAGACAATCTTACTTGGCTACAAGTGACCGCCAAAGAAGAAGAAGAAGAAGAAGAAGAGGAAGAAAAAGAAGAAAAAGAAGAAGAAGAAGAAATTTGCCGAATTGTTTGCCCATGTTTAATGCGCTCTGCAGGCTCCCCATCCCAGCCTTATAGGAAGTGCAACTTTCTGTGTTATCATCTATTGCACCTAAGACTTATGAAGGTGCCATGCTACAAGGCAGAGACCAATGGTCAATCCAACCAGAAATGTCTGCTCTGAGTACCGGTGGCTTTCCATGGTCTGCTACCTGGGCATGAAAGTGATGTTGAACAAGGATGAACACCCATGCAATGCGGTCCTCTGCCTCTCTCAGTAGCGTCAGAAAGCTCACCAAAGGGAGAACATGAGGGGGAGAGAGAGAGCACCCTCTCTCCAATTATCAGCGCCCCTCCCCCCCCGGCCATCAGATGCAACCTTACCTGCCTCTTGAAGCGCTTTGATTGCTCATTGCCTCATTTGGAAAGAAGAAAAGACTCACATCAATCTGTTTACTGATTTCGGCTGTCGCCAGGGTACTTAATTGCCTCCGTTGATCAAATGGGCATTGCGAAGGAATTAGTTCCACTCCAGAGCCATGCCTGGTGGGGGCTAACGTGATTCACAATTCACTTCACTCAGTCACCAGCCAGCCTCTCCTTACCATAACCAAAGTCTCCACTGCAAGGATATTTTGCAACCCGGCCAACTAAGCCTGCACTAAATGAAAGGCTCCTGCTTTCGCTTTTCGGTCTGGTCAGTGCCCACGTACGCTGAGATTTCTTCTAACAAATGCTATCAGCTGTTAAAATAAATTCTGCAGCGCCAGAGCTCGCTGGACCAAAGCAAACCATTTTGTAAGGTTTAAGTGCAAATTACACATCGCACAGCCGCTCCACTGCAACAGCGGCTCTTTGCAACACCTCTACTCCTTTGCAAATCGTGATAAACTATGCTAAACCTGAGCTGCCAGGCAGAGAGATGCTGGATGAAAGAGAACTAACTTTACTAACAGGAAATACCAGGAAAAACCTGAAAATTACTGTTCAGCCCTAAGATCACAGCAACTAAAGAATAAACTCTAAAGCGGCAAGACTTAAACCATGGTCCAGAGACACCGATAAGTCCCTGGCAGGGCTGAAGAGCCAAATGCAGTGGTACCTCAGGTTAAGTACTTAATTCGTTCTGGAGGTCTGTTCTTAACCTGAAACTGTTCTTAACCTGAAGCACCACTTTAGCTAATGGGGCCTCCTGCTGCTGCCATGCCGCCAGAGCACGATTTATGTTCTCATCCTGAAGCAAAGTTCTTAACCCGAGGTAATATTTCTGGGTTAGCGGAGTCTGTAACCTGAAGCGTATTTAACCTGAAGCGTATGTAACCCGAGGTACCACTGTGCTTCCTTAAAGTTTCTCTCTCATGCAATTTCCCCACTCCCCATCAGAAAGAGGGAACTTGTGCTTTGTTTAAACTGAAAAGCTGCTGTCCGAATGGCTGAAGCAGAAACGTCAAAGAAAGCCTTCATGCACAATCTTCCTCCAAGTGAACACACACTGCAGCCACAGAGGACAAATTACGTAGCTGATTTAATAACATGGAAGAAACACCCGGTGCTGGGATTGCCCACAAAGAAGCAGCAAACCACAACAGTCCTTAGTACAGTGGTGCCCCACAAGACGAATGGCTTGCAAGACGAAAAACTCGCTAGACGAAAGGGTTTTCTGTTTTTGCGTTGCTTCGTAAGACGAATTTCCCTATGGGCTTGCTTCGCAAGACGAAAACGTCTTGCGCATTTTTTTTAAAGCTGCTTGAAGAGGCGCAGTTGCGACGGACCGTGCTTCGCAAGATGAAAAACATCACAAGACGAAAAGACTCGCGGAACGAATTCTTTTCGTCTTGCGAGGCACCACTGTATAACCACTGTTAAGAACCACCGAAATACTAAAATTGGAATGATACAGAGAAGATTAGCATGGCCCCTGCACATAGATGACACGCAAATTCGTGAAGAGGTCCATATTTTTCAGAAAGCTAAGGAACCAAGAAGACAAAAACTTTAAGAAAGAACGGGAAACATTCACAATTTATTTAGGAGACCACTGTAAGCAGATAAAAACATTAGTATGATTTTAATAATACTTGTGATGTAACAAATACTATGGATAATATAGAATGTTATAATATATAAAGGTAAAGGGACCCCTGACCATTAGGTCCAGTCATGACCGACTCTGGGGTTGCGGCGCTCATCTCGCTCTATAGGCTGAGGGAGCCGGTGTTTGTCCACAGACAGCTTCCGGGTCATGTGGCCAGCATGACTAAGCCGCATCTGGCGAACCAGAGCAGTGCACGGAAACACCGTTTACCTTCCCGCCGGAGCGGTACCTATTTATCTACTTGCACTTTGACGTGCTTTCGATCTGCTAGGTTGGCAGGAGCAGGGACCGAGCAACGGGAGCTCACCCCGTTGTGGGGATTCGAACCACCGACCTTCAGATCGGCAAGTCCTAGGCTCTGTGGTTTAACCCACAGCGCCACCGGACTATGAAATAATATGTAGTTGAAGATGCTGATATTTGGACCCACAGAGGGGATGGTGGGAAGTCAGGGAGATTCTGATAAATCTCAATAGAAGGTTATGTAGTTGGTATTGTTTTTTGTTTTGTTTTGTTTTTAAAGTCAGGCAGCGCCCGCGGGTCTTAAACCGCTGGAAGCGATTAGGGGATCTAAGCAAAGTTTTGGTCGATGTAACCTCTGGGCTGAGCTGGCTCGATGTAGTTGGTATTGTTGTAATTTTTTGTTTTGTAAAACCAAATAAAAATTATTTTAAAAAAACACCGAAATAAATAAAATAGCACTTCCTAACAATTTCAGACACAACCGGTTGGCACAATCCACTCGTTCCCCCAGCAGCAACCACCAGGGGTGAAGCGCTCCTAGGCTTGAAGAGAAGCTCTGTGTAACTCAGAAGCTCACTACCTTAATTTGGAACATTAGTAAGCAAATGTAGCTGTCATCCTTGGATGCCAGAGGAAGCCCTTTGCCCAAACAACTGTTGGGAGCATGTAGCGCATAGTTAAACCGTGGGACTCACTTCCACAGGAGGCAGGGAGGATCACCAACTTGGATGGGTCTAAAAGAGGATTGGACAGATTCGTAGAGGATAAAGCTGCCCATGGTTACTCACTGTGATGGCTGTTCCCTGCCTCCATGGTCTTCTGAATCCCAGGGGCTGGAAACTGGAGGAGCGGAGCGTGCTCTTGTGTAGGAGTCCTGCTTGAGCATTCCTCTCAGGCATCTGGCTGGCCGCTGTGACAACACGATGCTGGACTAGATGGGCCATTGGCTCTTCCTCTGCTCAGATGTCTTGGCATGTTCAGATGCAAGGTAAAAGGGTGAAGGACCCCCGGATGGTTAAGTCTGGTCAAAGGCGACTATGGGGTTGTAATGCTCATCTCGCTTACAGGCCGAGGGAGCCGGCATTTGTCCACAGACAGCTTTCCGGGTCATGTGGCCAGCATAGCTAAACCGCTTCTGGTGCAACCAGTGACGGAAACCAGAGTGCACGAAAATGCTGTTTACCTTCCCACTGCAGTGGTACTTATTTATCTACTTGCACTGGTGTGCTTTCGAACTGCTAGGTTGGCAGGAGCTGGGACAGAGCAACAGGAGCTCACCCCTTTGCAGGGATTCAAACTGCCGACCTTCTGATTGGCAAGCCCAAGATGCTCAGTGGTTTAGACCACAGTGCCACCCGCGTCCCTATGTTCAGATGTACCTGCCATCCATTCCAGGGGACCGGCAGAGGCATAGCCTACAAGCCATGCAACCAAGCTACCAATTTACAATCTATCATCCTTCCACCCTGCCTTCCCTCCTAGCAGCTCAGAGCTGTGCATGGGTCAGTGTGCATGTATCAAACCCATGGGTGTAGCCAGGAGAGCAGCTCTCCTCCCCCCCAAAAAATATAAATAAATAAAAATATTTAACTAAAAGTAGAAATTGTAGAAAGATTTTGACAGATTTTTCTGAGCACTTGGGAGTCAAAAGAAAGCAATTTAAAACAACTGTTGTCGACATATTTCATTCCTGAATGGGGTAACTGTGTCCCTGAAGGACCAGGTGCGCAGCTTAGGAGTCATTTTGGACTCACGGCTGTCCATGGAGGCACAGGTCAATTCTGTGTCCAGGGCGGCTGTCTACCAGCTCCACCTGGTACGCAGGTTGAGACCCTACCTGCCTGCACAGTGTCTCGCCAGAATGGTGCATGCTCTGGTTATCTCCCGCTTGGACTACTACAATGCGCTCTACGTGGGGCTACCTTTGAAGGTCACTTGGAAACTACAACTAATCCAGAATGTGGCAGCTAGACTGGTGACTGGGAGTGGCCGCCGGGACCATATAACACCGGTCCTGAGAGATCTGCATTGGCTCCCAGTACGTTTCCGAGCACAATTCAAAGTGTTGGTGCTGACCTTTAAAGCCCTAAACGGCCTCGGCCCAGTAGACCTGAAGGAGCATCTCCACCCCCATCGTTCAGCCCAGACACTGACATCCAGCACCGAGGGCCTTCTGGCGGTTCCCTCACTGCGAGAAGTGAGGTCGCAGGGAACCAGGCAGAGGGCCTTCTCGGTGGTGGCACCTGCTCTGTGGAATGCCCTCCCATCAGATGTCAAGGAAATAAACAACTACCTAACTTTTTGAAGACATCTGAAGGCAGTCCTGTTTAGGGAAACTTTTAATGTTTGGTGCCGTATTGTTTTTAGCAGTCGATTGGGAGCTGCCCAGAGTGGCTGGAGAAACTGCGCCAGATGGGCGGGGTATAAATAATAAATTATTATTATTATTCCAAATCTGCTAGACACAGCCAGACAGAGGATGGTGTCCTGCCCTCCTCTAACATAAATCCTGGCTATGCCCATGGTCAAACCCCCATTTTATCCTCATAACAACCTTGTGAGGTGATAATATTAGGCAGAGAGATAACTAAGGGTCCGAGGTCTCCTGGGGAGGTTTATGGCTGAGCAAGGGTTTAAAAACAGGTCTCCCCAGTTTATACCATCTCAACCCTTTTATTGGGGGTGGGGGGGAATCAATCAATTTCACTGAGAGGATGAAGCACCGAACTCAACCAGACCTGAAAGTCCTGGCTCGCACCTGCGTTTCACTAATAAATCAGACTTCTCCAGAGCACAAACAGGTCTCCCTCCCTCCCCCTCTCTCTGCTCGGCCACACAGAGCTGTGTGGTGTTTAATTGCATCCCTGCAACGCTTCCAGACTGCGAACAGGTAGGTGGAGGCCTGAACCGAGACAGGCGTCCCTCTCTTCTGCTTCACCAGGCTTGTTATCTCTGAGGTGACGGCTTTGCACTTGAGCGAGGCGAGGCCTGGCATGTGAAGAAGAAGAGCGGGAGCATATTAAGAACGAGGGCTGGGAAGGGGAAGAAGGTCTTTGGGGTGACCGGCAAGAATCTCAGCTAAATCTCCCCTGAATATTCTTTGCTCCACAGCACCTACGCAAGACAAGATCAAAGGTGGAAAATTATCGGGGGGAGAGGGGATAAAAGTATGCCCGTCGCTTTAGCGAGCGGATACGAAATTGGACTTTCTGCTTCCCATCACTTCCTAATGAGAGGCACCTACTCAAAGGGAGTTTGAGAGTTTTAATTATAATCTTTCTTCCTCTAAGAATGCCAAGCCGGGCCCCATCTGCGGCCAGTTTTCTTGACAAGACAAGCTCTATTCAAAACTAGGTCAGGAAGCGTGGCAGGAGTGTGTGTGTGTGTGTGTTGGGAAGGGGGGTGGGTAATATCTCCCCAGAGGGAGAATGTTCAGATACAGATCTTTTAACCGCTCCTGGGGCTAGCCAAAGATGGACGATGGGCTGTCAGATGAGTTCGCGTCAGGAACCCGGTGCGATTTGAACTGCTGGCTGCGCTCAGGACAACGTGCAGATTGGATCGCGGGGCTCTCTCAGGCCCGACGTTCCCCTTGCGTCAGATGGCTTGGCTTTCTAAAAACACGTCTTTTGAAGGCAGGTTTAAGGGATTCCTTTCCCATAAGTAAATCACAAATTTGGGTGATTTGAGTGTATGAAGAGACCTGCGGGGTCAAGGCAGCGGCCCACCAAGCCAAGCATCCTGGTCTCACAGTAGCCAACCAGATACCGTATTTTTCGCTCTATAAGACGCACCAGGCCACAAGACGCACCTAGTTTTTGGAGGAGGAAAACAAGAAAAAAAAATTCTGAATCTCAGAAGCCAAAACAGCAAGAGGGATCGCTGCGCAGTGAAAGCAGCAATCCCTCTTGCTGTTCTGGCTTCTGGGATAGCTGCGCAGCCTGCATTCGCTCCATAAGACGCACACACATTTCCCCTTACTTTTTAGGAGGGAAAAAGTGAGTCTTATAGAGTAAAAAATACGGTAGATGCTTGTGGGAAGTCTCTTGAGCAGGACCTGAGCATAACCACCCTCTCCCCACCTGCACTTCCCAGCCGCTGGTATTCAGACACGTACTGCCTCCGAAAGTGGAGGTAGGCCACTCATAGCCGTATCATAGAACTGCAGAGTTGGAAGGGGCCTCAAGCGTTATCTAGTCCAACCCCTCACAATGCAGGAATCTCAACTAGATCATCCGTGGCAGGTGGCCACCCAACCTCTGCTTAAAAACCTTCAAGGAAGGAGAGTCCACCATCTTCCGAGGGAGCCTGTTGTTCCACAGTCGAACAGCTCTTACTATCAGAAAGTTCTTCCTGATGTTTAGTTAGAATCTCCTTCCTTGTAACTTGAAATCTGTTGGTTTGGGGGCCCGCCTCTGGAGAAAACAAGCTTGCTCCATCCTCCATGTGACAGCTCTTTAGATGTTTGAAGATGGCTATCATCTCCTCTCAGTCTCTTCTTTTCCAGGCTAAACATGCCCAACTCCCTCAACCATCCCCCATAAGACTTGATTTCCAGACCCTTAATCATCTTGGCTGCCCTCCTCTGCATACGTTCCTGTGAGATTTTGACCAGCTTCGGCCCATCTGAAGCTGATACAGGCTCGTCTTATCTTGAGCCCAAGCAGAGTAATCCACACAGCAGAAGGATAAGCAGTATGTGCCACATTCTTAACTTTATTTACACTCTATGCTGAGAGAATACAAACATGCATCTTGCCTCTGTGAGAGCAGAGAAGCAACTGTCTCTCTAACAAAGAAACCGAGAGAACAGTGAAAAACAGGAAACCAGTGAACGTCACATCCAGTCTCCCATTTCCCGTGAGAACCCAACAGTAACGCTGACTGTGGAATGTAAACAACTGTATTGTGACAAGCATTTTGCTGCACAGTGAAGGAAGCAGAAACCAACATCCTCCCCCTTTCTGTGAACATCACTGGGCAGCATGTTCGTGCAATATCAGTACAAACCCAACTTCTGCACATAGGTAGTGTTGATCCCTTGATACAATCTTGGACAATACATCAGCAGGAATTTCATTACCTGGCATATAGGACACCGTTACGAGTCCCTTCTGAACACATTCCCTAGCATGTTGCAACTTCAATTGCAAGTGCTTCATGCTTTGCTTACAACCTTCAGAATTCAGCAAAGCCAAACATGCTTTGTTGTCCTGGTAAACCTGGATTGGACATTTGACAGGAATTTTCATGTCTTTGCACAATTGTAACAACCATTCACAATCTTGAAGTGAATAAGACAGTGCATTCAGTTCAGCTTCACAAGTACTTAAGCTAACTGTTGTTTGCTTCTTGCATGACCAATCAAAAAGACCCTGATTGTACATGTAGCAAACTCCAGACGTGCTTTTCCTGTCTGTAGTGTCACTTCCAAAACTTGCATTGTAAATATCTCAAGACCACCAGACTTCTGATTGTTAAATCTCAGTCTGTAATGCATAGTGCCTTTCAAATAGCGTGTTATGCGTTTCAGAGCTTTCCAATCCTTAACAGTAGGATTGTTAACTTATCTGCTTAGCAAATTACGGCTAACAGCAATGTCAGGTCTTGAACATCTGGCAATGAAGTTTAGTTTGCCTAGCACACTTCTGTACAGTGTAGTGTCAGAAAATGCTTCTTCTGTGTCATCTACCTGATAACCTGTTGTCATCGGTGTGTCTACAGGGTTAGCATCCATCAGGTTTAGTTTGCTTAACACATCAGCAATTTTCTGTGACTGGTGTACTAGAATGTTACCATCTTGGTCTCTCTCTATTTCCAGAGATAGGTAGTTGTTTACCTCACCAAGATCTTTCATGTCAAAGTGCTCTTTCAGTTGAGCTAGGGCATTATTGTACATCGTGACATCTTTCCAAAAGAACAGAATATCATCAACATAAAACAAACAATACAGCTTCTTTTGCCCCTCCTCTTTGACAAATACACATGGATCAGCTTTCCCTTGCTGAAAACCTAGAGAAAACAATACTTCAGTGAGTTTTGTGTGCCAACACCGTGCACTTTGTTTGAGACCATAAAGGGACTTCTTCAGAGCACAAACAAATTCGTTTTACCTGTACGCCATCAGGTGGAAGCATATAAAGAGATTCACCTAGAGATCCGTACAAAAACGCTGTATTCACATCGTGGTGACTAACGTGAAGATTCTCTTCTGCAGCAAGCTTGAGCATAAGCCTAATGCTCTCATACCTCACAGTGGGTGAGTAGGTCTCGTGATAGTCTTCTCCTGGTACCTGTGAAAAACCTCTGGCTACCAATCTGGCTTTGTGTCTGACTATCTTGCCATTTTGATCAGTCTTCGCTTTGAAGACCCATTTGCTTCCAAGCAGTTTCATTCCTGGAACTACTGGAACTAGCTCCCATGTTTTGTTCCTTTCTAAGGAATCAAGCTCAGCCTTCATGGCATTTAACCATGGCTCAGCATCCTTTGAATCCAAATCCTGGATTTCTTGGAAACTTGAAGGTTCAAATACCTTCTTGGAGCTTTTAACAGCTGCAAGTGCTGTCTTAGCAAATTCATCAGCAAATCTCTTTGGAGGTCTGCCTTTTGTGGCTCTTTGTGACCTGCGAATTAGCCGTAGGTCTTCAACACTCCTCTTCCTTCTTAGGAGAATAGTGGCCTATAGTGAACAATGGTTCCTCCAATTCTTGATCAGAGCCTTCAGAGGGTCGCATAGAGGCTTTCGCACTCTTGAAATCCTCTGAATCATCTGATTCAGTCTCAGACTCAGGATCAGGACCTTCATCAGTGGGTGTGGGTGGTTGTGGCAGCTGTGGCTGTTGCTGCTGCTGTTGCATTTCCTCAGTCTCCTCACTGTCTTCAGGATAACATTGGAAAATTCCCACATTCTCCCCCCACTTGGCATTGTACTCAACACTTCTTGTGAGCCTAATTGTCTTAGAGTCTGTCATCATTATTCTGTAAGAACCTTTCTGATAGCCTAGAAAGATACCATGCAATCCACGCTTGCCTAACTTGGAGCTTTGTGGTGTGTGAACCCACATGTCAGAACCAAAAATTCTCATGTGTTTGATGTAAGGTTTCTTGCCAAACATCTTCTCATAGGGGGTACAACCAATCGCTGAAGATAACCTGCGATTATAACTGTAAACAAAACAAGCCAAAGATTCCACCCAGTAACTCTCTGGAAGATTGGCATCATGCAGCAAGGTTTTTAACCCTTGAAGCAATGTTTGATTTGCTCTCTCACAAAGTCCGTTCTGCCATGGCGAACGAGGACTTGACAAATAGTGTTGAATTCCTTTCTCAGTCAGAAAAGCTTCAAACTGCTGAGAAGTGAATCCCCCCCCCCCCCGGGATCAGTGAAAAGAGTTTTGATCTTCTTACCATGCACATTTTCCAACCAAGCACAGAATTCCTTGAACCTTGGAAAAGCCTCTGATTTCTGCTTGAGATTGTACACATAAATATACCTGGAAAATGCATCAATGAGAACCATGAAGTACCTGTTTTCACCCAAAGAGGGCGATAGTGGACCAACTAAATCAGCATGAACAACCTGGTATGGTTCTGTAGTTTGTCTACTAGACACCTTACCTTTCGCAGCCATTTTCACCTTGTTTGCTGCACATGCCTTGCACTTCATGTGGTACCTACAGGGTTTAATAGTCATACCTTCAACCAAGGCAGGCATTTTAGATACTGCCTCAAAATGCAAATGACCAAATTTCCTGTGAAAATCATGAATACATCCTGCATGCAAACTTTTGTTAGAACCTGCAATGCAACAAGTTTCATCCTGCACATCATCATCAAAATACAAAACAAACAAACAAACAAACGATCAACATATTCAGCATGCAATACATAATCATTTTTCTTTGTGATGGTGCACTTCTTGTTCTTGAAGGAAACGTCAATTTTTCGTTCATTCAGCTGTGCAACACTGAGTAGATTGTGTGCAGCATCTGGAACGTAGAGAACATCTTGTATCGATAAGTCCAAACTGTGAAGAACAGTTCCGTAGCCTTGATTGGGGATCGTGTGGTCATCTGCCTGGTGAATCGCACCTTCCTGCGGTGTAAAATACACGAACAATCGCTTCTTGTCAATAGCCTTCTTCAATGGTGATGGCCAGAACCGGACACAATATTCCAGGTGTGGTCTGACCAAAGCAGAATAGAGTGGCATTTGTCATCCAATAATATACAGTGGTACCTCGGGATGTGGGTGGTGCTGTGGATTAAACCACAGAGCCTAGGGCTTGCCGATCAGAAGGTCGGCAGTTCAAATCCCCGCGAGGTGGTGAGCTCCCGTTGCTCGGTCCCTGCTCCTGCCAACCTAGCAGTTTGAAAGCACGTCAAAGTGCAAGTACATAAATAGGTACCGCTCCGGCAGGAAGGTAAACGGCGTTTCCGTGTGCCGCTCTGGTTCGCCAGAAGTGGCTTAGTCATGCTGGCCACATGACCCAGAAGCTGTACGCTGGCTCCCTTGGCCAACAAAGCAAGATGAGCGCCGCAACCCCAGAGTCGTCTGCGACTGGACCTAATGGTCAGGGGTCCCTTTACCTTTACCTCCGATTGCAAATGGGATCCGTTTTGGAGGTCCGGCCACATCCTGAGGAATTCACAACTGGAGGACCACTTCTGCGCATGCACGCATGGCGAAGCCCGGAAATATGCTTCCGGGTTTGAAGTTCACATCCCAAAGTTTACGTATCCAGAGGGATACGTAAGCGGAGGTACGACTGTATTTCACAGTGCCCCAATACTCCCTTTGTTTCCCCACCCATTCACCTCTTACTATTCACCAGGAAAGGGCCAGCAAGACACTTAGTTCTCCAGGACCCAGCTCAAAAAGTCGGAGCTCAGTCCTCCTCCTTTCCACTTCTGTATTTGGCAAAGCCCTAAAGTCATATCTCACTGAGCTTCCGAGCAAGGCTGTCACAGTCCCTCAAGCTGTCCTTTGTTTCCCAGTGTGCTACAGTAACCCATCAAGAAATTAGGCTGCAGCCCTGAAGGAATATGCGCCGAGGAAGCAGGCTTTGCAACTGTGGCTTTAGTTTGCTGTGACCACACACTTGCTATTATAATCATCTATTTATATGATGCTTGATTGTCAGGATGGCTTTGGTTTACGAGTACAGTCGTACATTGGTTGTCGAACGGAATCTGTTCCGGAAGTCTGTTTGACTTCCAAGAACGTTTGACAACCAAGGCACGGCTTCCGATTGGCTGCAGGAGCGTCCTGTACTCAATCAGAAGCCGCGGAGGATGTTCGGATTTCAAAGAACATTTGCAAACCAGAACACTCACTTTGGGTTTGCGGTGTTCGGAAGTCAAAACATTCGAGTTGCAAAGCGTTCAGGATCCAAGGTACGACTGTATAAAATCTGGTGACAAAAATATAAGAGTGCAAAGTACACATCAAAGCAGTTTCATCAAAGCATTATTTTCAGTTAATGTGTTTATTTTACCCACAACTGAAATGCAACAATAAAAGGAGCCCATAAAAACAGCACAACAAATAAAAGGGTAAAAACGGCAATTACAAGTAATTAGAGCAGGAGCTTCAAGTCAGGGAAAGGATTGTCTTAACAGGAGCGTCTTTACAAGCCGGCGGCATGCCAATACTGATGGGGCCTATTCTTATTTCAGCAAGGAGAATGCTCTCCAACACTGGAGCAGCCAGTGAGAAATGTCCACTTCCGTGTTACTATATTTGTTGAGGTTAACTTTGTTTGCCCTTGTGACAAGGCATCTTTATATAGGAGACAGGGTCAGAAAGCACAATAAAAAAATCACCTGCTATTCAAAAGAAAGTCCATGTGATGAGGAGAAATTACCATTTGACTTGGTAGTTATTTTATTTGGTAATGCAGAATCTTGGGTTTTCTATGTCGATACAGAGATGATAATAAGTCACAAAAGAAAAAGGGGGGCGGAAGAATCCCCTTCCTTGAGGGATTGGATGAGGAGGGTATGGGATGCGGTTTGTGCTTTAAAATTTACAAATATTGCTAGTGCGTGGGGGAACAGGAAAACAAACATTTCATTGACCAAACTTTATGATGTTTTGGAAGAATAAAGTGTAGGGTAATGAGCAAATGTATAATTCATTCATTCAGAATTTTGTGAATTTAAGGAATTGCAAACAAGTGAGAACTGACGAACCAGAATAGGACATAAGTAATATTTGATATGATGTTAAAAAATAAATTTATATTTCATTGTTCTACATCTCTCTCTCTCTCTCTATATATATATCATATATTTTATTAAAGCTTTTTATGGTAAGTTTTTTTTTTAAAAAAACCCTAATCTATTAAAAAAAACAAAAGCAGGAATATCTATATATCTATCTTTTCCTGTTTTTGTTTTTAATATATATATTGTTAAATATACAGGATAATATACCATCAGCAGATGCTGAGGGACCAAAGAGTGGGCAATGAGGATTTTCAGGAAGGCATCTTCATAGAATATGACACAACTGAAGATGGGGTACAATCCTTCAGAAGCGATGGAATCTTCCTAGCGCCATTTCCATGCAGGATTGCCAGAGGGTTGTCCTGTAGGGAGAGCCCAGATTAGAAAGGGAGTTGGCGGGTAAATCTACAAGCGACTGGTGCCCAATGGGACTGGGAGGCGGAAGGCAGGGAGACCAACCATAGTTGGAGCCACAGCCAATGACAGTCAGAGCCACCCCTTGACTGGTTGTAAGTAAATAAGAAGGCAGGCAGGTAGGAGCTAACTAAGGTGGGCAGGGCCTCATTCGCCCTATTAGACTAACAGTAGTGAGCTAGCAGGAACCAACCCCGAGCGAGTTGGAGGTAACTCTTCGTTAGCAAAAATAGACCTGCACAGGCGTTTCAGGCCTAATCAGCCCAGCAGCTCATTTTTGGCAGGTCTTGCCCCCATGAAGCACCTCTCTACAGCTGCCTAAGTCCCCTTCTCTCCAGGGTTTTTCCCTAAGCAATTGGAGACTGTGCCTGAATGGAGCTAACTTTCCCTCCGCTCTCTTCATGCCTCTTCTGGTTCTGGGAGACAAAGGGAGATGGAAGCTTGTCACAGCAGGAGGGGGAGACACCTGCGACTCTTCAGCAGCCTACCTCATCTCTGTTTCTTGGCCCTCTTCCTTTCCAGCCTCTGCTTCTGCCTCTGTTTCTGGACTGCTCTCTGCCAGACTCCTCCTGCTCACTAAACCCTCTTACCTCTTCAGCTTCCAGCATCTCCCCACCTCCCAATCTTCTCCTGCCTGCTCTTCCCCTCAAGCATTCCCCAGCCTTGTTCTCTTCACAATCAGAGCTCTGTGGGCTTAACTGTTTGGGAGAATATGGGCAGAGACACCAGAGATCTTGCACTACTGTTAGCCGGACCCAGTTTACCTGGCGCGCTCGTGACCCGCGAAGACTTGAGTGACGTGCCCTGGAGCCTGGCAATGCGGCTGCGTGGCGCACCCAGCGAGTAGGAGGCAGGGCTAAAAAGAGGGAGAGAGATTGGGTTGCAAGGCTTCTCCAGCAGCCCTGCAGAAAGGCCAGCAACATTCAGCTCCTCTCCAATTCCCCCCCACCGTTCCTGCTCCTCATTAAAAGCCCTCTAATAATAATAAATAATAATAAATTTTATTTATACCCCGCCCTCCCTGGCCAGAGCTGGGCTCAGGGCAGCTAACACCAGTAAAATTACAATAAAAACATAATGGGGGCGGGATTTAAAATACAGGTTAAAATGCAATTTAAAATGCAGCCTCATTTTAAAAGTAGCCCATGGATCAAAACCATAAGGGGAGGGAAAACATAAGGATCAGACTGAGTCCAAACCAAAGGCCAGGCGGAACAGCTCTGTCTTGCTGGCCCTGCGGAAAGATGTCAAGTCCCACAGGGCCCTAGTCTCTTGAGACAGAGCGTTCCACCAAGTCGGGGCCAGTACTGAAAAGACCCTGGCCCTAGTTGAGACCAATTTAACCACCTTGTGACTTGGGATTTCCAAAATGTTGTAATTTGTGGACCTTAAGGTCCTCCGCGGGGCATACCAGGAGAGGCTGTCCCGTAGGTACGAGGGTCCTAGGCTGCATAGGGCTTTAAAGGTCAAAACTAGCACCTTAAACCTGACCCTGTACTCCACCGGGAGCCAGTGCAGCTAGTAAAGCACTGGGTGAATGTGATCCCGCGGCAAGGACCCCGTAAGGAGCCTCGCCACGGCATTCTGCACCTGCTGGAGTTTCTGGATCAGCTTTAAGGGCAGCCCCACATAGAGTGAGTTACAATATTCAAGCCTGGAGGTGACTGTCGCATGGATCACTGTGGCCAGATCAGGGCGAGAAAAGTAAGGGACCAATTGCTTAGAATTAGTGTCTGAGCTTTTTCCTCCTCCCTTCCAGCACCCTTTCCTTTTGTATCGTGCCTCTTTGGATGGGAGCCTGAGGGAAGGGATCATCTTCTCACCGATATATGTAAGTAGGTTTGGCAGCCTTGAAGGTAGGGATCCCTAACCTGGCACCACCATGAGGAAATCAATATTGTTTTGATGATCTCAATTGGGGCCAGGAGGACATAGGTTTGTTCCCAGGACAAGCCTATTGAAGAGGAGAGTGAGCTTACTTTGTGGTGTGCCTCCTCTTTTGCGTTGAGGCTTTGGAGGCCAAGGAGGACGATCGAGGAATGGAGGAGCCCTTCATGGTGAACACTGGCATGGACGCCCTGGAACTGAAAGGATTGCAGGAGTTAAATGCAAGAAGCACATCCTCCAGGATGGTTTGGCTGCCCACCCCCCTCCTCACCCCAAGGAAACTGGTCACCTGTAATTCGCCAAGAGATACGGGACAAAGGCAGGGATTGGCTGCCAAAAAAAAGGTCCACGCCTCTTAAAGTGCACTTAAATATTTGCCTGGTGGCCGCAGGCGACAAAGAACTGAATGGAGGCGACTGAGCAGACTGGCAGAGGAACAGGGGAGGGGAGCGCTCTGGCCCTCATTTGCACCTAATGTACAAACCCAACCGGCTAGCAAAAATGCTTGCAGGCTAGTAACTATTTGCAAGGCTGTCTTAAAGGCCAGGAACTTTCAGGCAATGCAGACAGGTCTCAACTGTTTTAACTTTTTGGGAAATAGGAAACATCCTGTGCTGTTTGTAATAGCTGGGCTCATGCCTTCCTCCCCAATCCCAATTTAAAATGATTGTAGAAGCAACTCTCTGTGAGGAAGAGTAGCAGGACCATCTCCTCTGGAGGTGATGGTACCAATTAGGCCATGGAGAGCCTTAACCGCCACAGCAAGGGTGACAAGTAGATTCCTGCTAGGGCCCAGGAGGCCCCGCTCTGCAAGGACAGCAACTTTTGGCTGTATAAAAGCCACTTCCAGGACGTTTGGGTTATCAAAAGGCCACGCAGGCCTGTTTTTTTCCTTTCTGAACTACAAGCAGCCCATTTCCACCCAACCTGGTCATTAGAAGAGCCTGGTAACATCAGGAATTTGTTGTCTGAGTGTAATCCTTTTCCTCCACCCTCCCCATTGCTTTTTCCTTTCGTGCCACGGCTTTTTGACTTGTAAGAGTGGAGGCAAGAACTGTGTTTCGTGGGATTCTTCCCTGCTGCTTGGCAGAGATTGCCCCCTACGCTTTCAACTGGGAACCGCAAGTATTGGCATAGTTTGTGTCTGAGGCTCCCTGGGCCAAACCTCTTGCAAAGGGAAGGAAATGCCAGAGGGCCTTGCAGCTCAGAGGCACCCACCTGGGTATGAAAGGTGCCCCCTGGTGGTTAGAGAGGTGCTGGACGCTCTCCCAGGCAGGGCATTCAGGAGCGCTGGGTTTCACGTCCAGAGGGCAGGGAACCTCGCGGAGGTCGAAGGTGGTGTTCAGGCCCCTCGGCGGAGCTGGTGTGGAGCAATTCTGGGCGGCTGAGGTGCCCAGAGGCCTACGGGTCTTCGTAACTGTCAAAGGGCAGCACGGCAGCGGGCGGAGACTGTACGGACTAGAAGACCTGGCTTTATCCACGAGAGGAGTGCTGGTGCAGTCAGCCTGGGGGAAAGCAGCCCATTCCTTCAGGGAGCCCACTTGCTGTGGGGAGAGGGGATTCTTCCGCCGACGTTTGGCCCGCCCCTTGGGGGTGGAAGGGGAGCTCCTTTCGGACAGCGGTGGGCTCTCTGCCGACTTCCTTCGCTTCTTTGTTGGGAGGTGGGGGGTCTTGAAAGTTGCGCCTGGCATTGGGCCCCTCTCTGGTGAAGCGGGCAAGACCCCAGGACCGCCCGTTGGATCGACACGCTCGGCTGCATGAAGGGAAGGTGGGAGGGCAGCTGCGACACAGAGGGAGAGAGCAATGAAAACTGGCAGCCTAAGAGAGACGAACACCCAAGGGCATGGACCCGAGAGAGTGGACAAATCAGCCAATGGGGGAACCCTTCACTCAGCCAACCCCCCAGTCAGCCAATGGGGGAACCCTGCACTCAGCCAATGGGAGAACTCTTCACTCAGCCAACCCCCCAGTCAGCTAATGGGAGAACCCTTCACTCAGCTAACCCCTCAGTCAGCCAATGGGGGAACCCCTCAGTCAGCCAACCCCCCAGTCAGCCAATGGGGGAACCCTTCACTCAGCCAACCCCCCAGTCAGCCAATGGGGGAACCCTTCACTCAGCCAACCCCCCAGTCAGCCAATGGGGGAACTCTGCACTCAGCCAATCCCATTCACTGCTATTTCTGATCTGACTGCACTGGCTACCAATTAGTTTCTGGGTCCAATTGAAAGTGCTGGTTTTGACCCATAAAACCTTAAAATGGTTCAGGACCATGATACCTCAAGGACTGACTCTTTCCATATGAACCCGCCTGGACCCTGAGATCACCTTCTGAGGCCCTTCTTTGCGGGCCTCCTCAAGAGGTTCGGAGGGTGGCAACACGAGAACGGGGCCTTCTCTGCAGTGGCTCCCCATGTGTGGAATGCTCTCCCCAGGGAAGTTCGCCTGGTGCCTTCATTATACACCTTTAGGCGCCAGGCAAATACATTCCCTTTTAACCAAGTCTTTGGTTGATTTGATCCTATTTGATCCTAAAATGTGGTTGTGGGGGTTATTGGGTTGTTGTTTTTATTCTGATGATATATTTTGTGGGTTTATATTCTGATTTTGTTCTGCGAACCACCCTGAGACCTTCGGGTATAGGGCTGTACAGTGGTGCCCCGCAAGACGAATGCCTCGCAAGACGAAAAACTCGCTAGACGAAAGGGTTTTCCGTTTTTTGAGTCGCTTCGCAAGACGAATTTCCCTATGGGCTTGCTTCACAAGACGAAACGTCTTGCGAGTTCTTGCGAGTTTGTTTCCTTTTTCTTAAAGCCGCTAAGCCATTAATAGCCACTAAGCCGTTAATAGCCGTGCTTCGCAAGACGAAAAAACCGCAAGACGAAGAGACTCGCGGAACGGATTAATTTCGTCTTGCGAGGCACCACTGTATATGAATCCAACAAATAAATAAAATTAAAATAAATTTCAACGCTGTCGTCCCCGTCCCCCCCTAAGAATCACCATTATCCACGAGCTGCTGCACTTCTGGCTCCAGGCTGCCTCGAGTAGTCGCATCCAGTTCCCCAACTTGCTCCTTTACAGCGGAAACGTCTGGGGCCTCACAGGCCTCTCCCGACACCAAGCTGCCCAGGCTTTCAAAGTCGACCCTCGTATCCGGGGTGAGGAGGTTGGCAGCTTTCAGAAGGGCATACTGCCTTTGTGCCACGTGCAAGATTGACGTTACCAGCCTGAGACAGTAAGGAAGATCGAAAATCACCATGTGATCACAATGGGAGAGACGGGAGCAAAGGCTGTGTGTGCAACATATTATTAAAGCACATGGTTTTTCCCAAAGAATCCTGGGGAACCGTACTTTGCCTTTCACAGAGTGAAAAGCTCCAGGTCCCAGGACTCAAGTGGGGGAAGTCGCGTACTTTGAATGTATGTTGTGTACACTGCAAAAGAGCAGAAAGGAATCGGCATGGCTCCTTCCCCATCCTGCAGATAAGCAGTACAGTGGTACCTCGGGTTAAGAACTTACTTCGTTCTGGAGGTCCGTTCTTAACCTGAAGCACCACTTTAGCTAATAGGGCCTCCCGCTGCCGCCGTGCCACCGGAGCACAATTTCTGTTCTCATCCTGAAGCAAAGTTCTTAACCTGAAGTACTATTTCTGGGTTAGCGGAGTCTGTAACCTGAAGTGTCTGTAACCTGAAGCGTATGTAACCTGAGGTACCACTGTACAGTGGTACCTCTGGTTACAAACTTAATTTGTTCTGGAGAACCTGAAACCTGAAACCGTTCTTAACCTGAGGTACCACTTTAGCTAATGGGGCCTCCCACTGCTGCCGGCGCGCGATTTCTGTTCTCATCCTGAGGTAAATTTCTTAACCCGAGATACTACTTCTGGGTTAGCGGAGTCTGTAACCCGAAGTGTTTGTAACCCGAGGTACCACTGTATTTTGGAAAGAATGAAATGTCTGTGACATCAATTTGACTGCCAACCTGATATGTGCTTAAACCTGCATGAGATGGCAGGATAAGAGGACCTCGCTCTCCTTGTATCGGGTGGAAAGACGTCGACTCACCTCATCAGCTGCTTTTTATCCATTCCTTGCAACCGAGCATTCAGCTTCTCCTGTTTCTCAGCTAGATCTGAGGACTCTGTGCCACAGCAGCTGGGGTTCCCCCCCAGTTCTTGAATCTATCAAACACAGCAAAAAGGTGTGTGTCGGGGGGGTGGTTATGCTGGTGTAAAATTTGTATAATATATAGGTAAAGGTAAAGGGACCCCTGACCATTAGGTCCAGTCGTGGCCGACTCTGGGGTTGCGGTGCTCATCTCGCTTTATTGGCTGAGGGAGCCGGCGTACAGCTTCCAGGTCATGTGGCCAGCATGACTAAGCCGCTTCTGGCGAACCAGAGCAGCTCACAGAAACGCCATTTACCTTCCCGCCGGAGTGGTACCTATTTATCTACTTGCACTTTGATGTGCTTTCGAACTGCTAGGTTGGCAGGAGAAGGGACCGAGCAATGGGAGCTCACCCCGTCGCGGGGATTCGAACAGCCAAACCTTCTGATCGGCAAGTCCTAGGCTCTGTGCCGTAACCCACAGTGCCACCCGCGTCCCAGTATAATATATACTGGATGCTAAATTCTACCCATCGTGTGCAACATGCCCAACTGACAAATGGACGATCTGAATAACCGCTTGTAGTTTAAAGGTGAATTTTGGACATAATGGAGATGTAAAAGATTTGGATTATCATAAAAGATGCGGGAGGAAATGATTAGCAATAGGGCCCACAAAGGGGAGGAGGGAATTCCAGGAGATTCTTTGGAATCTTGGCTTTTAGGTTGTATGTTGGATATGTGATTGTAAAAGTTTAATCTGAAAAAGCAAATAAATAAATTTATTTATTCTTAAAAAACAACACAGAATTGGACGAGCTGCTGCGATGTCATGCAACGCTCCCAATTCCTCTGGGTGCGGATGATAAAAGAACACCCTCAGGGTGCTGATCAAAGCACCCACAAATCCACTTGCTGCCCCGTGGGGCAATCCCTGTGGGGTGCTCCGGGATTAGCCGAGAAACGGTCTCAGCAGTCAGTTATAAAAACAACCACGTGTGAATCTTTTAAGAGAGGCACTGCAGATACTGAGCGGATCTCTGGGTGGAAAAGCCTCAGGAAAAAGGATCCACATGCTGAGATCTCCTGACCTCGATGCCCATCCCACAAACTTCCTGGCCCTTACCTGCTCTGCTGTGCTGCTTTTTCCTGAAGAAGGGGCGCCATCATTCGGTTTCAACAGCTCTGCCTCGCCATCGCCCTTATCCGGGGCTTCGCAGTCGGAAGAAGCCTCCTTTGACCTGTACCAAGTGCAAGAGTGGGGTGTCACCAACCATTCTCTACCAAGCGCTGGTACGAAACCCAAAGGACATCTGGTCTAACCTTCCCGTGCCCTGCTTCTGGGGGCACAGCCTTGCTCTGTTTGAGAAAGTCTGCAGTGGAGGTGAAATTCAAACCAAGGACGTCCTGTTTCATAGCTTGGGCTCCTAGACATGACGCCAGCTCTCAGCCGGTTTTATTCTCATCCATGGCCCACTCCTGCCCTGGGTAGGCAATTAAACAATCTGTACCTCTCTCCTTACCCCAGTGCAGTGCCAGATTTACATATAAGCTAAGGAAGCTACAGCTTAGGGCCCCACTCACTTGAGGGCTCCCAAAAAATTTAAAGGGGGAAAAAAACCTGGATGTACATTTTCCAAAATATAAGATAAAAAACAAATAAAATAAAACCTACATACAGCAACAGTGCTTTGTGTCGTGCCGGCTCCTATAATGTAAGTAGCAGGCCCCGCCTGCTAGCCTGCTCCCTAAAATACCACTGGTTTGCTATTACTATTTCATTTTATAGCAAGTTTCTAGAGACTAGACTATGAGTCTTTGTAAATTGTGTTTCTAAAGGAACTTTTGTTATTGCCAAATGCCAATGTGTCTGCATTATTAAGTTTGTTACGAATAAAAAATCATTTTAAGTTAGGGCTTAATAATTATTTCACTATTAATATACTTCATAGGGACGCGGGTGGCGCTGTGGGTAAAACCTCAGCGCCTAGGACTTGCCGATCACATGGTCGGCAGTTCGAATCCCCGCGGCAGGGTGAGCTCCCGTCATTCGGTCCCAGCGCCTGCCCACCTAGCAGTTCGAAAGCACCCTTAAGTGCAAGTAGATAAATAAGTACCGCTTTATAGCGGGAAGGTAAACGGCGTTTCCGTGTGCTGCTCTGCTGGCGGTTCGCTACAGCAGCTTCGTCACGCTGGCCACGTGACCCGGAAGTGTCTGCGGACAGCGCTGGCTCCCGGCCTCTAGAGTGAGATGAGCGCACAACCCTAGAGTCTGTCAAGACTGGCCCATACGGGCAGGGGTACCTTTACCTTTATACTTCAGCATAATTGTATTTCACTATTAATACACTTCTTTTTAATTGTATTTCAGTTCAACAATTACTTTGATAAAATACATATTTTGTTATGGGCAAATGGCTTTAGATACCTATTAGGTCCATAAATTACCATATAGCATATATTCAACACAAAAGAACTGTGACAATTTGTTGTTGACAAACCACAGCTAGACATATAAAGGGCCCCATTACCTTCAGTAATTTAGGGCCTCATCAAACCTAAATCCGGCCCTGCCCCAGCGATACAAGTAAGCTAACACTAGACGTTCACACAGCGTGCATTGAAAGCCCTGTTACGCCACTTTAAACACCTGCGGCTTCCCTCAAAGAATTCTGGGAACTGTAGTTTGTTAAGGGTGAAGAAAGAGTTGTTCGGAGACCCTCCCTTCCCTCTCAGAGCGGTTTAACAATCAACTCCACTTCCTAGGGAAATCTGGGAATTGTAGTTCCGTGAGGGGAGCGGGGTGTGTGTGTGTGTCTTCTAACAACTCTCAGCACCCTAAACAAACTATAGCTCTCAGCATGGTGTGGATGCGGGCATTTTATTTTAATTTCAGCATGGCTATAAACTGTTTATTATTGCGTTATTATTGTTATTGTTGGTTTCTATTGATTTATCGGTCTGTTTGCTGCTTGTATAGGATATTTTGTTTTCTTTAAATGTTTAATGTTTTGTTGCGTTTTTATATATGTTGTAAGCCGCCCAGGGTGGCTGGGGAAACCCAGCCAGATGGGCAGGATATAATTTTTTTATAAATTATTATTGTGGACAAAGCCCTCTGACAGTGGATCCCACAACACTTGAGAATCTATTTTCTAAATAGAGGCAAATTTCTCATGGTTGCTGTGGTAAAAAAAAAAGAAAAAGGAAAATTTAAGCACTGCATGTCTCTGAATATCTTAGAAAAAATAGGAGCCTAGGTTTTTAGGGAAGGAAAAGAAGAGGCTGGGAGGAGGACTTCGGACTGAAACAGATCCTTCAAATCCTGGGGTCCATGACTGGCTAGATTTCGGCTTTAAATGCCTCACTTTGCACAGGCTTCTTGCAGTCCTGTCTGCATCAAAAGGTATCGACTCCAATGCTTCCTGTGTAGTAAGACACAGCAGACCTACCTGAGAAGCTCATCCTGGCCAGGTCTGGAAGGAGTCAAAACAGCCGGTACAAGGTGGGGTCTAACTTCTGGGACATTTTCCTCATAAGCTTGGAGCCGCCCTCTTAATTCGGCCACCTGAAAGTCGTAAAAAAGAATTATTTCTTTCACACACAGGGCAAAGTTCCCAAGATTGCAGTTTACTGCCTGTATCAAAAACCAACCATGGTTTCGATTTTCCATTTAACATTTGCATTCACATGTAAATCATAATCCTATACAAATAGGATTCTCTGAATCCCTAGACTTCCCTTCACCCCTCCATGGGTTCCATAGTTACTCTTTTCCAGCTGCATCATATATTGTTCTCCATATTTTCTTTAAAAATCGGTTATCACCATAGTTCCTGTCACATTGCAAGTGGTTTTTTTAAAAATCCTGCCAATGTTTTTAATTTTTTACAGTGTTGTCCTGAATGACTTTCTACGGAGGACTAGTTCTAAGGACCTTCACGAGTGGAACTTGGCCTGAAGGGAACATTTGTATCTGTGGTCTTCAACACGGCACCCGTGGGCACCCTCAGACAACCCTCCTGACACCTGCTCTTCCTCAAAAGAATAAATAAAGTTTTACGGCTTTTGAGTGGGTGTTTTTTGCCTGTCTTTCACTTGTTTGGGGCTGCGCTCAGGTGTTTTTCCTGTTGCTTACTGAGACTCACCACTTTTTTCTTCTGTAAAGGGTGTATTTTCGGGTGGCCACACCAGTTTTCTAGATTTCTAACTAGGCCTCTGGCAGCGCCGGATTAAACCGTGCAAAGGCCCCACGGCAGTCGAAACCTCTCTTGCCCACCCCCGTGTGAATACTCTAGGGGAAAACACTGAACTAAGAAAGCTTGATTGCCATTTTCTTTCAAGATCAAATCAATATTAATTTTGATCCATTGTTGCAGGACCCCTAAAAGGCATGAGGGACCTGCTCTGCCAATCTGGTAATCCGGCACAGGCCGCTGGGTCCCCAAAAAGCTTGGTCTATGGCAATGCTAACAGGGAGTGGGAGAGAGAAAGCAAATGCAAAGCATCGGTTTGCAGGTAGACAGCAAGAATCGACAGCTGGAGTGCCACACAGCATAGTTTTGAGCTCCTTGGCACTGTGGTGAAACTTTTAACCAGACAGAGGGATTGCATACCTTGTCTAGCAATTCAAAAATGCCCCACTGGCCAGGGCTGTTGGCTAATTCTGGAGGTTACGCACCGTATTTTTCGCTCTATAGGACGCACCCGACCATAGGGCACACCTTGTTTTAGAGGGGGAGAACAAGAAAATAAAATTCTTCCCCTCTCTGCTCAGCGCCCCTTCAGCGAAGTGGCAGGAGAAACGGAGCCCCTTCCATTTCTCCTCATGCTTCGCTGAAGGGGCACTGCGCAGCTCTCCCTCTCTGCTGAAGCCAGGAGAGTCTTGCTCTCTCGGCTTCAGCAAAAGGAAGCCGAAGCCTCCTGAGCGCAACGGGAACTCGCGCAGGATAGCTGCCTGAAGCCTTCGGAGCGCACCGACCCCTCTCGCTCTCCAGGCTTCAGCGAAAGCAACGTGAAGCCTCCAGAGCGCTCCCTCTGCGCTTCGGAGGCTTCGCGTTGCTATCACTGAAGCCAAGGAGCCTGCATTCGCTACATAGGACGCACACACATTTCCCCTTAATTTTTGGAGGGGGAAAAGTGCGTCCTATAGAACGTAAAATACGGTAAGTCAACATGACTAGTAGCTATGGACTACCATATCCCCTGTGAAGGGGATTATATTATTATACGATGACCCCCCGCCCTTCCTCAGGTTCCCACCCAAAGGAAACAGGGTCTGCTTACCTCTGCTTTCAGCTGCTCACAAACTGCTGCGTATTGGCTGATATGGCAATCCACACTGACCACGTTGCTTTTCATCTGCAGGCCAGGACAAAGCACAGAAAGCAGGTAATTTTGAGATGGGGAACAGAGGTAGGCCGTTGCATTTTTGCACAAGTTGCAATTCCGGCCTGATTTAAGAGGTCGGCTTTCTCTGATACCTACTAGGAGTTTGATCTCTTTAGCTCGGTTGGCATACTTTAGGGTGTTGTAGGTGTCTTCGTAGGAAAGCGCAGAGGGGCTAACGGCGGCTATCATTATGGTCCGGCAGTTCCCACCGATAGAATCCTTTAGGAGGCGGGTAAGCTTGCTGTCCCGGTATGGAATGTGAGGCTTTTTGCCCTGTGGGCCAAAAGGGAAGCAGAGACGAAAATTGGGTTTATAAAAATCACGTTCCCACAGGAAAATGCCCACAATCCCCCTTTAATTCTTCTGTGGCGACTGCGGCTACAGTCCCAAGTGCACGCCTACCTGGAGGTAAGTCCCACAGTGGGTCTTATGTCCAAGTAAACATACCTGGTGCTGATAATGCCCAGGTTGCAGGTTCAATCCCCATAAGGGACAGCTGCATTATTATTATTTATTAAAATTCATATCCTGCCTTATACCTGAAGGTCTCATATTCCTGCATTGCAGGGGGTTGGACTAGATGATCTACAGGGTCCCTTCCAACTCTACAATTCTATGCAGAATATATTGTGCTGTTAGCCTTACAACTTCACCCCCTTGTGGTGAAGCTGAAATATAATAGGGGGTGAAAAGGACTTCATTTTCAGCAGCCGAATTTTCCATGGTTTCTACAAAACGTCTGTGTGCAGGATGGAAGAATTAGAGGGGATGTTACAGCACGGCATTATTTCTTTATAAAAACAGACAATATACACTCTTCACCCGCCCCGAATCATGCTGCACATTTTCAAGCCTCTACCAGTCTGGATAACGCGATCAGATTTATTATGTTGAAAGCCTTCAAAGCATTTTTGCACACACACTTTATTATATAAAAATATGTACGTGGGAACGACTGTCACTGAGTGAACTCAGAGGCCCTTTAACAATGGCCGAGGATGTCCCTGAACAGTAAACCCAGGGGCAGACCACAGAAATCTAAACCCAGGGGCAGGAAGAAGTAGCAAAGGCGTTACCTTGGCATCCGCCAGGCTGTTAATGACGTTGATGAGAGCCAGCAAGGAGCGGTTGATGTTGGCCCCCTCGCGGCGGCGCTCCCCTTTGCCCTTGGTGGCAGAGGCCCGCTCTGAGCCCGCCAAGTCGATCAGACTCATCTTGGCCACCCGAAGGTCCCGGGTGATGCCCACAACGCGATCCCGTTGCTTCACATGGATCTGAAAAAGTTAAAAAGTGCTGCATCCCTTGGTGTGGGTGGGTGGTAGCGCACTGAACTTCCTGAAAAGCAGCACTGGAGACAGCCAGTTGAATCTGCGTTGGTGCTGACCTTTAAAGCCCTAAACAGCCTCGGCCCTGTATACCTGAAGGAGCATCTCCACCTCCATTGTTTGGCCTGGACATTGAGAAGTGAGGCTACAGGGAACCAGGCAGAGGGCCTTCTAGGTAGTGGAACGCCCTCCTTGTCAGGAGTTCAGCCTACACTCGAGTAGGACCCTGGCAGAGAAACATGCCCGACTGGCATGTTCTCTCCCTCCTGGTCTTTCGTGCGGGAGCTTCAAAAGCTTTCTTCAGGCTGAACATCACAGCGACCGATGCCAGCCGACACTGGCACACTTAGGGATCCGCAGAGTTTGCGCATCACGCGTGACAGAACTCAGCATTTTGGCTAATCTACTTTATTTACATATAAACACATACGGAGCACTACAACATGGCTCCCTCTCTCTCTAGCATCAGACAGCAAAGAGAAAAAGAACAAAGGACAATAGTCCCACTTCACGGAACACAGTAACACAAACATCCTGTTTCTATCACTTCCCACTTTGTGGAGACAAAACATATAACATCATGTGAAAGGCAAAAAACCCCATGACTGCAATCATGGATCAGGAATTCTAACATTCCTATCAGATGTCAAGGAGATGGAGAATTACACAACACCTGAAGGCAGTCAGGAAGTTATCGGGAAGTTTTTAATACAGTTTGAAAGCCAGTGCAAGTAGATTAATAGATACCGCTGTGGCGGGACGGTAAATGGTGTTTCCATGCACTCTTGTTTCTGTCACGGTGTCCCGTTGCACCAGAAGCGTTTTAGTCATGCTGGCCACATGACCTGCAAAGCTGTCTGCGGACAAACGCTGGCTCTCTTCGCCTGAAAGCGAGATGAGTGCTGCAACCCCAGAGTCGCCTTTGACTGGACTTAACCGTCTAGGGGTCCTTTACCTTTTTACCTACCCTACAAGAATACAGATCGGATCAAGGATCCATCTGGTCTAACCTCCATTTTCCACAGCGGCAAGACAAAATATCTCCAGGAAGCCACACATAGGGCAACAGACCTCATGATTAAAGGCTTCAAGAGGGTTTACCTCAGCAATATACCGTATCTGTCAAAATTACAAATACCATAGATTCCGGCGTATAAGGCGACTTTTGAACCCCAGAAAATCTTCTCCAAAGTCGGGGGCCGCCTTATACACCGAGAGCCCCCTCCCTGCTGCTGCGGCTGGCGGGCTCAGCTCCGCGCCAGGAGAAAGCCGCCTGGCGCGGAGCCCACCCCCTGTTGCTGCCCAGCGTATTGGGCCACTGGGCTTATAAGACGAACCCCCAAATTGCAGCTGCCAATTTGGGGGGTCGTCTAATACGCCCTGTCGCCTAATACGCCGGAATCTACGATAACGAAATACAGATGGTCGTTTACCCTTGCTAGATTCAACGTGCTGCCATCTGCCTTATTGCAGGGCAGATTCGAGGGTAAATCATATGCGGAACAAGTCTACCGCTGCGGCCTGATGGAGGTAGAAACTGTCTCTCATGTCTTGTTACTCTGTCGTTTCTGCAGGGATATACGTTCAGTATTTATCATCCCTGCTATACAAAAATCTCCAAATGGGTCCGAACTTCAATCTAGAGATCACACTAAGGATGGCCAAACTCTGTGTGACTGCCATAAAACATAGGGAACAATCTGTGCTACCATAATGACTAAGGCCTTAAATGACAATTTTAGGTTATGTTTTAGAGATTAAGATTTAACTTATATATTTTTAACTGCTGATATATCTGTATTGCCCGTTTTAAAGGTAAAGGTAAAGGGACCCCTGACCATTAGGTCCAGACGTGGACGACTCTGGGGTTGCGGCGCTCATCTCGCTTTATTGGCCGAGGAAGCCAGCATACAGCTTCCGGGTCATGTCACCAGCATGACTAAGCCACTTCTGGCGAACCAGAGCAGCGCACGGAAACGCCATTTACCTTCCCGCTGGAGCGGTACCTAACAGTTGCGTATGGTCCCTAACAATCTCTGCCACACTTACCTGGAAGACTGCATGGGAGCGTGAAGAGGTGGCATTAATGTCTGTGGGGTGCTGTGTACGGTTCAGATTTCCTCGCCTCAGCATCTCCAGGAGTTGGCCTGCCGATTTTGGCTAAAAGTCACAGGCCAGCAGAGAGAAAGAGAGACTGTTTAGTTAGAAAATATGTGGAAATTTAATTTAATATTTAACTGTAAATTTATGTAACGTTATTTTTTTCTTTGTATGTGTGGGTTTAAGATACTGTATGATATCTATTAATTTCAATAAAGGATTAAAACAAATAAAAAAGTCACAGGCCAGTAGAGAGAGAGACTGTTGAGAAAAGCACGTGCAGCGGCCACAAATAGTAACTTCCCCTTCATGTTCCCACCACAACTGGAGAAATCCCTTAAGCAAGTGCTGGGCTCTTTAATTACATATATATAAATATATAAAAAGGTAAAGGTAAAGGACCCCTGACAGTTAAGTCCAGTCGCAAATGACTCTGGGGTTGCAGCGCTCATCTCGCTTTACTGGCCGAGGGAGCCGACCTTAGTCCGCAGACAGTTCTTCCGGGTCATGTGGCCAGCATGACTAAGACGCTTCTGGCGAAACCAGAGCAGCGCACGGAAACACCGTTTACCTTCCTGCCGGAGTGGTACCTATTTATCTACTTGCACTTTGATGTGCTTTCGAACTGCTAGGATGGCAGGAGCAGGGACGGAGCAATGGGAGCTCACCCTGTCACGGGGATTCGAACCGCCGACCTTCCGATCGGCAAGCCCTAGGCTCTGTGGTTTAGACCACAGCGCCACCCACTGTGCATATATACCCCCATATTGTCCTCCCTGCAAGGCAATCATCGTACCCACCTGGTGATAAGACAGCCCTTGTACCACAACCCCTTTCTCTGGGTCCTCCTGAATGGCCAGCGGGCCCTTCGGTTCCAACAGGTCGTGGATCTGCTCGTTGTACACCTGGAAGAAAGAATCGGGCTTCAATACTGTCTCCTGGGAGTCAGCACTTCAGAAGTAGCTTTCTGGCTGGGGCAGAGCAGCTAGTTTTCCAGCAGGTGTGTCGCTGTCGCTCACTGGGAGATGAAGTTGGCGAGGTGCAAATACCTTAGCAGAGCCAATCTGGTGTTCCTGCTGGGGTGTTTGCTCCAACCCCTATCATGCCTGAAAAATCAGCTTGAAGCTGTAGCTAAGAGCACAACTCCCTCCTGATCTAAGCAGCAAGAGAGTCACCACTTGCTGTTTCAGGCTGCAGGCAACTGCTCATGTTTCTTAAATTCAGATAAACCAGTCAATCAGTTTTCGGGGGCATCTAGTGATCTGATGTGGGCAGGGAGGGAACTAAAAAGTTCATTCATTCTCTGCCGATTAAAAAGTAGCTTCATCCAATTCTGATGAAGCCTGACGTGCAAAACCAGGGCAGGGCCTCCCCAGCCCTGGTGCCGGCATCGTGGCCAAAAATGAGTGGCCAAAATTGTGGAAACCTTTTGGAAAAAGTGTATTTCTGAGGTTTGATGGCTCATAAGACCACCTATTTTTGGTGTGATACCATAAAATTATATATCAATGGAGAGATATTTTAATGAAGAGTGTAATGCAACAAAGTTTGTTCAATCACCTGTATTCTATCAAAAGTTATAGCCAAAGAACCAGAAAAAGGAAGCCCAACTTGCTTACGCTGATATGGAGGAACTTTCCTTCATTTGAACATAGCCAATGGGCATGAGAGTTTAGAGAGCCAATCAGGTGTTATGAGCCACCAAACCTCAGAAATACACTTTCCCCAAAAGGTTTCCACAATTTTGCCCACAAGTGTACCAACCCTGTTAGCAAAATATATTTTTGATTTTTAATGTATCTGGCTGTTTTAATGGTAGTTTCATCTGTGCCTCTAGTTTGGGTAGGTTACCCCAAATACTTTGTAGAAACAAGGCAACACGTATGGGGAAACAAACCATCAACTGGAAAGTTTTCCAGATTTTTTAATTATTATTTTTTTGAGGGAGGAAAGCCAAAGCAGATCGCAAGCAAACAAGAGCACCCGTCCGTGGAACGGCCTTGCCAAAATCACAGCAGCTAACGGTGGGCGTATCTCTCACCGTTACAGGCATGGCACGCTACCCTGTAAAAAACGGGGCTCCCTTTGAACCGGGGAACGCACTAGATGGAAGTTCTGCCAACCAACTAGATATTACAGGTCTGAGCTGCACTTCGTATGCCACGGGCAGGAGCCCAAGGACTGCAACAAGCTGGGCCGCAGTGATTAATTGATTAATTAGTTAGATCAATTGCTTCGAAGCTTTTAATCAACTAAAAAGGTGCCTCCAATTAATCAGGCAGCTGGTTGGTTTTTTAAAAAATGTAATTTTTAAACACAATTCACTTATGGAAACTGTAGGTGGCAAGCACCCTCTTCCAATGGCCTTTTTCCTCTTCTGAGATGATGTCTCCTGCAACATGTGTGCATGATCCAATATCAAAGAGCTTTCTTTGACGGTGTCTCTGTGCTTTCCTTCTGTGCCACATCTGGGATGGTGGGGAACCTGTGGCCTTCCAGATGTTGCTGGACTCCACCTCCCAGAATCCTTCACCATCAGCCATGCTGGCAAAGGCTGATGGGAGTTGGAGTCCAATAACATCTGGAGGGCCACAGAGTCCCTGCTGCATTCCATATTGTTCCAGAGATTCCTCTAAATCAGAAGTCTTGCCTTCTGCAAATGGAAAGTGCTGTTTTACTGGCACATGGTTATTTGTCACAGCCCCCAAAAGGTGTCCCTCTCGTGTCAGAGATGTAGCGTCTTACCCATATGCAAAATTTATCAATAGATTAATCGATTATTCATCATTTAAAATGCCTTTAATCAGGTTGCAGCCCCAGGAGAGAAAACACGCACAAGACATTTTTGATTGTAGCTAAGCTGGTATGAAACTTGCCTTCAGTGCCTTGATAACACATAGAATCATAGAACTGGAAGAATGGAAGGGACCCCGTGGGTCATCTAGTCCAACCCCCTGCAACGGACATTTTCCTGCGTTGGACCCCATCTGAACTATACATTTAAATGAGCATCATGCCACTTTAAAAAGTCACTTCCTCCCCCCACTAAGAATCCTGGGAACTGGAGTTTGTTGACGGTGCTGAGAGTTTTTAGAAGACCCCTATTCCCCTCCCAGAGCTACAATTCCTGGACTGGTTTAACAATCAATTGCTCTTCTAATAAATAAACAAAAATAAAATAAACCCAACACTTTTAACAGGCTATAAGATTATTTAATGGCCAAAGGCGTGGTTAAAGAGGAATGTTTTTGCCTGGCGCTTAAAGGCACGTAATGACGCCACCAGGAGAGCCTCTCTGGGGAAAGCGTTCCACAGATGGGGAGCCACCACAGAAACGGCCCTGTTCTCACATATATGCTACTTCAGGCAGCCCTTCTGAAGAGAACAAGATCAAAGGCAAACCCAGAATTTCCACTTGCCTATCTGTATGCGTGGAGGTCAAACTGCAAAACTGGGTTCCTGCTAGGGGTGGTCTGACCTCTGCTATGAACACTGCATCTCTCTGCAGCCTAAGGTAGAAAGAAGCTGTAAGAAATGGGAGAGGGCGATACCTCCTGGTAGGAGACGAGGACCTCGCAGTGCTTATCCTCCCTCCTGGCCTCTATTTGCTTGTATAGCTCTTCCATGGTGAAGTACATGATGCCCGGTTCCTTCTCCGATCCCAGCATGGTGTGGGTCTTCCCTGCACCCGTCGCACCGTAGGCAAACACTGGAAGAGAAGGAGGCCACAGCCACTGAGTCAGCCCCTAAGTGTCAGGGATGTGCATTGAACCACCTGGATCACTAACAGATGCCGGAAGGCTGTTCAAATCCTGGGGCCAACGTACAGTGGTACCTTGGTTCTCAAGCTTAATCCGTTCTGGAAGTCCGTTCCAAAACCAAAGCATTCCAAAACCAAGGCGCGCTTTCCCGTAGAAAGTAATGCAAAACAGATTAATCCGTGCCAGACTTTAAAAAACAACCCCTAAAACAGCAATTTAACATGAATTTTACTATCTAACGAGACCATTGAGCCATAAAAGAAAAGCAATGAACAATGTACTGCATTCACACAATCAATCAGTAGCTTAACTGGGTTCCACACTGCTGGGAAGTTTTTGCCTCTGCACATGAGTCTGAGAATGTTCTGAATAGTTCCCATTGAGTTCATGAAACAGTGTACCCTGACCTGTTCTTAATGCATTGCTGACCATATCTACGGAACGTGATTGTTGTATTCTTTCATGTTATGTTCTTTCACTATCAATCTTTAGTTATAATTTAATTAGGAGGCTTCATGCCTGTCTAGTTCCAGCTCCGTTTCTCAGCCTTTAATCTATCGGTGATTAATGTTATATGTAATTCCCGCCTTGTACTTATGTTAACCAATCAGCAACAAGTTGCTTTGTGTTTGTATCAACCAATCAGCCACAAGCACACCTGTGGCAATGTTTGTAATATTCAATAAAAGAGAGTTCCCGGGGCTTGCCCCGGCAGACGCCTCATATGACACCTGCCACTCGTCTGTCGTGAATTCATTCCAACACCACACAGTCACAAAAACAAAACAAAAAAGAGCCACAAAAACGCAAAACAAATAGCAAAAACAGACAGACCTCAGCGTAACACTCAAATCGGAGGCGTAACACTCAAAATGGAGCATGTTCAGCTTCTGAAAAAAAGGTCACAAACCAGAACACTTACTTCCAGGTTTGCAGTGTTTGGGTTCCAAGTTGTTTTGAGTACCAAGGCGTTTGAGAACCAAGGTACCACTGTACCTGAAGGAGGATCTCTGCTGCTCCAGTCATCTTTGAGGGTCACACAGTCCAGGTTAGTATTTCCAGTAAATAAAAATCAGTTTCCATGCTAGACTCCAGTCTTGTCTGGACCGGGCAATGCCCCTGCCATCTGGTTCACTGAGAGTCATGGCCAACATTCAAAATTTGCCAGGTACATTTTGCACCTGGCTATCAGCCCCTTGCAACCAAGTGAAGATGCCCAGGCGCTAAGATGTCTGCCAGCCGCCTCCAGGCATCTGGAGGTGCCTGCCTGGGAATTCTTGGGTCTCTACTGTTTTCACACACTATAACAATACATCCCGTAGAATTCTACCCGTTATATCTGCACAATCGGAAGCAAAAAGTCATATTGAAATATACAACTTTTGAGCCGTCTAGCCCAGAAATGGCAACTAGGTATTCCATTTCGCTGACTGCACCGCTGGTTTAAGGAGCCATTTGCAGTCTAGCTTATATATCTGAGTTTCTAACACTGGCCAAGGGTGGCTTCCAGTTCCGTCCCATAAGTCCCAAATGGCGTCTCTTTCTAGTCTAGTGGTTCCCAACTTTTTTTGGCAATGCTCCACCTAAGCATCTCTAAAATCCTGATGCCCCACCCCCCGGACATATACCATATTTTTCGCGGTATAAGACGCACCAGACCACAAGACGCACCTAGTTTTTGGAGGAGGAAAACAAGAAAAAAAATGTTCTGAATCTCAGAAGCCAGAACAGCAAGAGGGATCGCTGCGCAGTGAAAGCAGCAATCCCTCTTGCTGTTCTGGCTTCTGGGATAGCTGCGCAGCCTGCATTCGCTCCATACGATGCACACACTTTCCCACTTACTTTTTAGGAGGGAAAAAGTGAGTCTTATAGAGCAAAAAATACGGTAATTCTGATTATTCAAAAGGTGAACTCCTATTCACGTGGAGAAAGCCTAAAAGGCTATTAACTTGGTCTAAACAAGCTTCCAAAGAATTGTGATCGAAGTTTAATACTTTAGATACACTTACCATTTGTATTTAGAGTTCTATAGCAGTAATTATTATATTTGCCTTGCTTATAAAGCACGGGACCCACGAGAAAGCGTCATACATTCCCTCGCTGATAAATTGCGAATTTCCCAAGGTAGATACCCACCGATCACCAGTGCTCAAAGCAGGTAGCGGCCCAAAAGACTGCACTGAAAAATGGCAACTGCTCCAAATGAACAGCTTTGGAGCGGTTGCATTCAGGGGGAAATTCCAAAACTGTTGACTGAGAGCTCTCGGAGCGCTACTCCCCCTGAATGCGCTCAGTGTATTTTCTGTTTAGATAACCTCTCCATTATCACCAGCTGACCGCTGTGTACATTCCGATTTTAATTTTAAAAATGTGTGTCACAATATAGACCTTACTTTTCTGTGTTTAACACGCCCCCATGTATAAGACTCAAATTTAAGAAAATATGAGGAGATGGCACAGAGTTGTTGTGCTTTTCTTGGGGGGTTTACCCAGGGTTGTTGAGCGTCCTTTGGGGGGATTGCCAAAAATTGCTCACCTGCACGCGCCGCAAAATCCGCCTCTCGTCTGTCCCTCGCCGGCAGAAGCTGCCCATCACCCGCCCAGTTACCGCAGCAACAGCCAATCAACACCAGCCACTGACGCAGCAACCAATAACACGCCCAATAGCCGCTGACAGCCGCGGCAGCAACCAATCAAACGTCCACCCTATGCACTATCCATGTATAGGACGCCCCCAACTTTTTAGCATAATTTTTAAAGAAAGAAACCTAGTCTTATACAGTCATACCTCGGGTTGAAAGAGCTTCGGGATAAGTATTTTCGGGATGGCACTGCAGTGACCCGGAAGTAATGGAGCGCGTTACTTCCGGGTTTCGCCGCTCGCGCATGCGCAGACGGTCAAAATGACGTCATGCGCATGTGCGGAAGCGCTGAATCGCAACCCGGGCACGTTGCGTTCGCTTCTGGATGCGAACAGGGCTCCGGAACAGATCCCGTTCGCATCCAAAGATACCACTGTACATGGAAAAGTACGGTATTTATATACTGTATGTGAGGTCCCTAGAACCATAAGAAATGCAAAAAATTCGCGGTTAATAACTCATTCTCGAACTGCCTCCCTTAAAAATCAAATTGCCTCCCTGTGGGGCGTGTGCCCCACATTGGGAACCACGGCTCTAGCCTTTATCTATGGTGTCAGGCCACGGCACGGCCTTGAAGAAGAAGAATAATTATGATTGATATCCCACTTTCACTCCTATTTAGGAGTCTCCAAGCTGGCTAACATTCTCCTTTCCTTCCTCCCCTGCAGCAAACACTCTGTAGAGACGAAAGTAGCACTGAGATGTCACACATTAAGAACTGTGCCTGGACCAAGGTCTGCCTTAGCAGCTGTCATCTGGATGTGAGCGGAGTTGTGTACCCCGTTCTCGACATCTGATGGGACTGCTGCTCTAGCCACTGCGCACGCTGGAGCTTGAAGACTGCCTGTCTCGATGGCAGAGCCAAGTGAAGCCCCACCACTCCAGCCTCCTTACCTGAACAGTTGTAGCCATTCAGAACACCGTCCAGGATCTCTTTGGTCGTATTCTCAAACACCTCTGCTTGGGTAGCGCTCTCGCCGAACACCCGGTCAAAAGCGAACGTCAGGTTCTTGCCTTTCCTTTTCGACGGAGGGTCCTGAGCTTGGGCGAAGACCCCCGGCGGGCTGGCTTCCTCGGGATCAAACACCAACATACAGTCTCCGACTACCCGCACCACGCTTTGGCGGTTCCCCTCCCGCTCGCGGGGGGTCTGCGGCCGCACCCGCACAACTACCGCCACGCTGCCCTCTCCGGCGGGCGAGACGTGCGCCATGGCTTCAGGGCTCTGTGTCAAAGAGAGGACATTTGTTAAAAAAAAAAACAGAAGCATTTTTGTTAGGAATTGTAGGACAAGACCTGCCAAGAAAAACAAAGAATTTATTTACGTATGCTACAAGAGTCTCGATAGCACAAGGATGGAAGAATGAGGAAATCCCAACGAAAGTACAGTGGCAAGAAAAACTGACAAGTTACGCAGAGTTGGCTAAATTGACATATAAATTGCGGGACACGGAGAACTGTGGCTTCAAGGAACAATGGGAGCTTTTAAAAAAATATCTAAAAAGACAACAAAAAGAACTGGACTCCTTGGCAGGTTTTGAATAAACATACATAAATTTACTGGTTGATAACATGTTAGATAGATAATATAAGGATATGTAAAATTTTATAACATGCAGAGAATAACATGTGCTGAGAAATCAGAGAGAGGAGCTGAGGGAAGTCTTTGGTGGGGGAGGAGAGGGACGGATGAAAGGGAGGGGGAAGGGGGGGAAAATAATGTACGCTATTATATGGTTTGATAATTTGTTGTGTTGAAATTCCTAATAAAAATATTTTAAAGAGAGAGGACAGGAGCATGTCAACATGTGCAGCGCCAGAGTCTTCACATCCCTGTTGATTCCGAGTAGATGCTGGATAGCTCTTGAAGAAGCTCTGTAAACTGGGCCACATCCACATTCCACGTTTAAAACAGTATCGTAGCACTTTAAAAAGATAGGGCTTCCCCCAAGAATCCTGGGAACTGTAGGGTGTTGAGTGTTATTAAAGGTAAAGGTACCCCTGACCATTAGGTCCAGTCGCGGACGACTCTGGTGTTGCGTGCTCATCTCGCTCTATAGGCCGAGGGAGCCAGCGTTGGTCCACAGACAGCTTCCGGGTCATGTGGCCACCACGACCAAGCTGCTTCTGGTGATCCAGAGCAGCACACGGAAACGCTGTTTAGCTTCCCGCTGGAGCCTTGAATGGTGGTCAGGGGTGCCATGGGCAACGCTGGCCTCTATCCCTCTTTCCTTCCCTCCCTCCTCTGATGCCCTCTCGCATCTTTGCCTCCCAAAGGCTTGTCCAGCTGTTTGCTGCAGCAGCCCTGTCTACAAGCTCCCCAGGCAAATGATGCCTCTGGGGCTGGCCAGGTGGTGCTGATGCCAGGAGCTGAGACGGCCTCGGAGCAAGCAGGCAAGTGGGCGAGGAAGTCCAGCCAGCCAGTTTGCCAGCCCTTGCTGTTGGGAATGGACAGACAAGTGGGAGGCCGGGCAGGCAGGCAGGTACTGCGCTGGCCTTTCTTCTGCTTGCTGTGTGCAAGGCCTGCTTAGGAGCAGAGTGCCCGGTGCTGAAGGAGAGCCTTTCCGCCATGCAGGCCTGACAGCGCCTGCTGCTGCCACCCAAAGTAAGGTGCTGGCCTCACCTTTGACCAGTCTCCATTGGGCCACTAGGGTCATGGGCATCCTTTTCCCAGGTCCCTGTGGGCAGTGTGAGGCGGCCTCTCTTTGGAGAAGGTGGCAGCTCAGAGACCAGGGAGCGGCTGCTCAGAGGACTCCCAAGGAGAGGGAAGGAGGCTGAGGGAACACTCCACAAGGGAGGGTGTTCAAAAAAAAGGGTGAGAGGCTCCCATCTCTGTAGGCAAAGGGTGACATAACTGGGCTCCTGAGCCCCACAGGGGTGCCGCAGAAAGAACGTGGTTGGTCAAGGGAGCTGTGGACTCAAAAAGGTAGAAAATCTCTGCCCCAGTTAGTTTAACAATCCATCCTTCTTCCCAGGGAACTATGGGAATTATAGCTCTGGGAGAGGAACAATGCTGGTGGTCAACAAAAGAGGTTTAAAGACTGTCTCAAGGCAAATTTTTAAAAATGTAGTATAAACACCAACAATTGGGAAACACGGGCCTGCGAGAGCTCCAATTGGAGAACAGCCAAAGGTTTCATGGGCTTTGAAGACACTCAAACTCAGGATGCAAGGGAGAAACGTGCTAAGAGGAAGGCACACTTGGCAAATCCACACCATGGTCAATTCCTGCCTGGAAACCTATGTCCCCACTGTGGAAGGACATGTGGATCCAGAATTGGCCTCCACAGTCACTTACGGACTCATTGTTAAAATCGTGTTTATGGAAGACAATCTTACTCGGCTATGAGTGATCGCCAAAGAAGAAGGAGGAGTCACCTAACAAAGGGGAAAGCCATGATTGCTTATAGTGGTATGATACTTCTGTAAATGTATAGTGCAGTTGGGAACCCTGGGGACTTGCATGCACGAGTCAACATAAGTTTGCATAAGGAGATGATGGTGAGATAAACAAATTGCAATTTCGTATGTCATCTATTCATTCACAGAGAAAAACCATTCTGCTCCAGTAAACAGGGAAGTAGCAAATAACCAGCCACATGCCAGCTAACCACCTAACTCTCCTCGGAGTCCTTCACAATGTCTCAACAACCTTCCTGAAGTTCAGAGCCCAGCAACTGAAAACAGGATGATAAATTTGTCTTGCTTTAATGCTACTAAGGCAACAAATTTACAGCCCTGTTCAGCCACAAGGGATTAACGGCCAAAGGCACTCATTGATTGATTGTACCGGCTAATCAATGCATTCATTTGTTGCAAGATTATAAATGTGGGTTTTAATAACAGCTGTCCTCTCTGAAAAGAGCAATCACTTCTGACGGCTTTGTAGTAAGGCAGTGCCTTCACTTCTACTTCGGGATTCAGGCCATGTTCACAAAATCGTTTCCAAAGGGCTCAATTTATGTCTTAAGGGACAGATCGGAGCAGATCAGAAACATCCTGAAACTGAGGAAAATGGGAAATGTCTAGCGGGGGCCACGTGTGGTTGAAAGGAGGTGCTGTGCAAAGTCACCATTTAGCAATTCTGAGAACTGCAAATCCAACATTTTGGAATTCCTTTCAAGGGGAAAGCCGAAAACAAAAACTGAAGTCTAATGGATTAATACTTTGAATCATTGCTTTCAAAATCTATTCATCAAATCTGTTATATATATATATTCTAAAGGGACGCGGGTAGTGCTGTGGGTTAAACCACAGAGCCTAGGACTTGCCGATCAGGTTGGCAGTTCAAATCCCCGCGACGGGGTGAGCTCCCGTTGCTCGGTCCTTGCTCCTGCCAACCTAGCAGTTCAAAAGCACGGCAAAGTGCAAGTAGATAAATAGGTACCGCTCCAGCAGGAAGGTAAATGGTGTTTCCGTACGCTGCTCTGGTTCGCCAGAAGCGGCTTAGTCATGCTGGCCACATGACCCGGAAGCTGTACGCCGGCTCCCTCGGCCAATAAAGCGAGATGAGTGCCGCAACCCCAGAGTTGGTCACGACTGGACCTAATGGTCAGGGGTCACCTTTACCGTTACCTATATATATCCTGGTTTTCTACCACTATCTGTTGTTATATTTTGGCATGGCCTATCATATTTAACAGAGGGAATATGAGCAGCACGTTTTTGGAATCACAGAAGTTTGAAGGGACCCTAAGGGACATCTAGTCCAACCCCCTGCAAGGCAGGAATATGCAGCTGTCCATTCCGAGGATTGAACCTCCAACCATGGCATTATCAGCACCACACTTTAACCAACTGAACTATCCACATCTTAAACTGCATTTGATTCTTGTTCTTATTATTTATATTTTAAGCTGTTGTGGCCTGAGCCAACATCACTGTGTGATGGGGGCCGAATAGACAAGGCTGCAATCCTAAATCCACTTACTGGGAGTAAGCCCCATTTAATTCAATAGGGTTTACTTCTGATAAGATATTCTTAGGGTTGCAATGTCAGTAAGTAAATAAATAAAAAGCAGTTTTTGTATGGCAGTCATGTTTTTAGCAGTGGTGCAGAGGACTGCAACAGGATTAGCAAAAATCAAGTATCTGCTAGAGTAAAGCTATCATTGGATAAAATACATTTGCCCCTGCATTTAAAAATACCAGGGGACTGGGAATATCTGGAATGATCCTGTATCACCAAGTGGCTTAGCACCGTTGGTCAAGTCAATATAGATTAGTTCAGTCCTTCATTCTCTAAAATTAATAAGCTGGTATCAGGATATTTTCATATGTTCGCAAATGGAAGGGAAGCAAAAACATACAGATATTGTGTTTTACACTAAGGGACAAACAGCAGCTTGAGTGTGGAGAATTATGTGGACTGGGAAAACAGCGTAAGAGGGGAAAGTTAACCCTCTCACTCGCTGAACCTGGGTCCTCATCTGAACCCCCTATCTCAGGGCAGCTAATAACATTTATAAAAACAGACAAACCAAAAAGCCCCAGGAGATCCTGTTCACAGTTCTCCCACGACAGTTTGGCTTGAAATGTATATTATATTTGATGTGTGGTGAACATTCTAAACGCAGACTGTGGTCTGTGGTGCTCTGTTCAGAAAAGCCAAGGAGATGTTGCAGAATAGCCACAAAATATATATTCTTGGCCCTATACTGGATTTGTTTCTTCTGAAGAAACATGAGGCTATTTTGAGGATGGTCAGATCAAACAGGCTAACAAGGCTAATTTCCCCCGAGGGGGGGGGGGTAAGCAGCAGCTTGGCCTTAGGGCACGATTTTCTTTTTCATATGTCACTACTTTTTACAACAATCCCCATGCAAGAGGGGTCGGGGGAATACTCATTTTTAAATTCATATAACCCAGGAGCAAAAATGAGTGCTTGTTCAGCATAGAACAACCCCCTACCCCCCAAAAAAAAGATTATTACACGATCCACTGACATTCCTGGCAATGTTCAAGTGGTCTCAGGCTCAGGGAGCTTGAGAACCTGTTTTATAATATTGTTTTGCGGTTGTGAAAGACGGTCTGTTGGATCCCTCGCCCCTTGGTGAGGTCTTCATGCAAAACCTACCCCAGTGCCTCCCATTAGTTGCCAACGTTTTAACCAGCCCCTGCTCCTATGCCTTTAAACGGCAGCTTGAATACCAAGAGCCTGTCGGGGAGTTTTCTTTCTTTCTTCGCAACATGGAGATCCATCAAGGGCAGGATGATCCTCAGACATTGATAGATCTCCACGCTGTATAAAACTTCCCGATCTGTTTTCTGCGCATTGCAGCCGCCGAAGGCACTAAAAGCAGGAAAGGCTGTTCAGTCGACGATGCAAGATAATCCTCGTACCGTGTGGTCACCAGACAGAATCCTATATTATATACAGTATATTTTTCTCGCCCCCCCCCCCACGGCAATAAAAATCAAGCACCCCTAAACACATTCTTTCTATGTCCCCTTACCGAGATCCTGCACGCAGTTCTGCCTCCTTCGACTCGCCAGTTCAAATCTCCCGGCCACGCCCCTTCGCCCGCTTCCCATTGGTGGACTGGCCTACCACGCGCGCCTCTGGACTTCTTCTAATTGGTCAGTCTGTTCCTTTGGCGAGGACAAAAATACTGTAGAGGCGGCCGGCCTTTCGCTATGCATGCTGGGAGTAGTAGTTTCGGTTAGGCTTGGGGGGGATGCGAGGGAACTGCTTAAACTGGCTTTTTGCTGCAACCTGTAGAGAAACAGTAGTGTGATAGGAATTTTGAGGTCTTAGATATATGGTAATGTTCATAAGTGTACCAACCAAGCACATACATAGATCAGCACAGGAAGACCGACCTGGAACCATTTTTGATTCCCAAACTGACCAAATGTTTTCTCTGTAAGGTCAAAGGAAAATGGAAAAGCCTCTCCATTGTCTTTTCCTTCACAAACCCTGTGTTTGTTTCTTTTTTAAATAATTTTTATTGATTTTAACATATAAATTTTAATATATAATTGATTTTAACATATAAATACCACACAACTTTATCACTTATACAATCTTTTTAGACTTCCATCAGCACCTCTGGAAATCCACTGTTATAATCACTTCTTCTGCATTACTCAGTTTTATATTACCTTTAAATCTCTTAACAAATCATCCTCCGCTTTATCCATTTTTGTAATAATTCCAATAATACTCCTCACAAAACTTCTTGCAAACCTACAAGCGTCGTCTGATCTTCACAAATACTTTTCAAATAGTCTGTAAATTTACTCCAGTCTTCCGTGAATTTCTGGTCGCGCCGATTTCAAATCCTTCCTGTTAGTTTATCCAGTTCTGCATAGTCCATTAATTTCATCCTCCATACACAAATCCTGTCTTAAGGATATGTCTGTGTTTGAATAGGGTGAGCCTGTGACCTGGCCCAGGAACTAAGTATTTATCATTACAAAAGACTGGCCAGGCTCCCCAGGCAATCCAATCTACTAAGCAGGGGATCCAATCAAGTAACCTGCCAGACAGGAGATAAATAAGGACAGGAGAAAAACAACATTCAAATTTCTGTTTTAGACCGCCTTTTCTGTGATGTAGGTATGATGTTTCTGGGGGTGGTCTTGATCTACAGGGTGGCAATTTCAAAAGTCTATTTAAGGCCTTGTGCACCATTGTTCTGGGTTCCTCCTCCCTTCTTCGTGTGGTGAGTGAGGACCCTGTAGCAACAGATCAATAAAGATCGGGCTTTGTCAGGGAACTGCCATCGGACGGAAGGGAGGTGAAAGGGCTCACACAGGTTGGGAGAGACGCAGCAGCTGAAGAGGAAACCAACAGGGAGGTGAAAGGGCTCACACAGGTTGGGAGAGACGCAGCAGCTGATGAGGGAACCAGCAGGGGAGAGGAGCTGAGCTGGAGGGATGGCTCAGAGACACTTCCAGCGAAAACAGTGGAGAGGTTTCAGGACCTCCTGTAAGAACACCCACTCCTCGCCGGAAACTGTCACGCAGAGATTCCAGAAGACGTGTTTCCGTTAAGGAGCTTTTATGTTGGAAGCGATTACGAAAGCAACCACTGTCGGAATCTGCTAGTGACTAGAGTAGCCATGTCTGGGGGCTCTGTCACAGACAGAGGTTTGTGGACTTGAACAAACTCTGAGGGGATACGATTTTACGCACAAGCAGCTCATCATCCCATCACAGCATTCCGACAGTCTTTGAAAGCAGCTTGTGCAGGAGAAGGTATCATGAGCAACCCAGCCGGAACCGGAGAAGCAGGAGCTGGAGCGGGTCCAAGCCTGGAAGAAAGGTACCAGATGTTGGAGGTCCAGCTAGCGATGCAGACGGCGAGGCTTGAGGAGAGGAGGGCTCAGGATGCAGACAAAGGGGAAAGCCACCCAGTTCGCCAGAAAGGTACCAGGATTGGTGCAGAAGTTTGGGGGAGCCCAAAAACTATCATGGTTTTCGGACAGAAATGCAATATGCCCTCAATCTGCAGTTTGATGAATTCCCTGACGAGGAATCACGAGTGGCTTTCGTGATTGAGCATCTTGAAAAGGGCGAGAGACTGGGTTAGACCCCTGATGGCAGCGAATAGTGACGTCTTAAAAGACACGATGAAGTTCTTTCGCGCCATGGATCTGATGTTTTCCAGCGATATTGAAAAGGGAGTGGTGCGCAGACAGTTAATGGGTTGCAAACAGGGAGCCGATCTGTCCGTGAGTACTGGACTGAGTTCACCATGCTTGTTCACAGATTGGGGTGGGACTTATCGGCGGAACCCATTCAAATGCTCTTTGAAGAAGGGCTTTCTTCGGCTGTGAAAGACGAACTTTCCCGGGCGCCCAGGGCGGAGTCTATGGACCAGCTGACCAAATCAGCGCTGGCCCTAGGAGCGCGCCAGGAGGCGAGAGCATTGGAGAGGCGGGAAGGGAACGGGGACCGTTGGAAGGAGTTCCGCATTCCAGACATTCCCGAGCCAACTTTCCCACCGGCAGAGCCGATGGAAATCGGAACAGCGCGCGCGCGCTGTTCAAAGCCCAGTGAGGGGGCAAGAAGGAGGGAAAAGGCGCCCGGAAATGCTATCTCTGCCAACAGCCAGGTCACTTTGCCAGAGTCTGCCCCCAGAGGAAAGAATGGCAAGGGATGGTAGGGGCTGTGGATGGAAGAGAGGAAAATATACCGGAGCAAGTAAAAGCCAACGCCTGGCTGCCACTGTCAGGGCACAGCAGCCAGGCCAAAGAGCAGTGAGGTGCCCACGCCAGAACCTCCTAAACCCGCCCTAGTGATAGAAGTGACGCTAGAGCTGCCAAACGGACACCCTCTAAAGATAAAGGCGCTGTTGGACTCAGGCAGCTCCTGCAATTTCATGAGCAAAGAGTTTGCAGCTGAACACCAGATACAGACAATCCCTTTAAGCAGCCCCCTGCAGGTGACCACGATCGATGGCAGGGAGCTGTTGGGTGGAGAAGTCAGCTTGCAGACCGTCCCAATGATAATGAAGGTAGCAAGGCACACCGAACTGATAGCTTTTAATGTGGCCACCTTGGGAGGAGCTCCCATTATATTGGGGATGAGCTGGCTAGCGTTACATGATCCGCTGGTGGGCTGGCATCAGAGAGTGGTTTCTTTTGGTTCAGCACATTGCTTAGAACACTGCAAAGAGGGAAAGGGTTTGGCAGGGGTCCAAGCCACCCTAGCAGGGACTGAAGTAACAGAGAACGTGAGGTACCACGACAATATGCAGATCTCCGTGACGTCTTCAGCGAAAGGGAAGCTGACCAACTACCCCCGCATAGACCCTTTGACTGTCAAATCAACTTACTCCCTGGAGCACAGCTCCCTGTAGGCAAGCTGTACGCCATGTCAGACAGAGAGATGCAGGAGTTAAGAGAGTTCATTGACAAGAACCTGAAGAGAGGGTTCATCAGAGAGTCCAGGGCGGTGGGGGCAGCCCAGTGTTTTTGTGGATAAGAAAAACACGAACAAGCCGAGGCTGGTGTGTGACTTCAGGGCCTTAAATGCAGTGTCAGAACCAGTAGCCTTCCCTATGCCCAGGATTGACGACATTTTGACAAGGGTGCGGAAGGGAAAGATTTTTACAAAGCTGGACCTAAGGGGGGCGTACAACCTGGTACGAATAAGGAAGGGGGATGAATGGAAAACCACTATGTTCACCCCTTTAGGGGCATTTGAATATTTGGTTATGCCCTTCGGCCTCCAAGCAGGCTCCGCAACCTTTCAATCGTTTATGAACCACGTCCTGGGGCCTTTGCTTTACAAGAATTGTGTGGCCTTTTTAGACGACGTGTTGGTGTATTCTGAGAATGAGGAGCAGCATGTGAGAGACGTCAGAGAAGTGTTGAGCAGGCTGCAAGCCAGCCTGCTGTGGGTGAAACTGGAGAAGTGTCAGTTTCATACCAAGGAGGTGGAATTCCTGGGGTATCGCCTGTCAGACAAGGGATTGGCCATGGATCCCGGCAAGGTCCAGGCTGTGCTGGAATGGAAAGCACCCAAAACAAAGAAGGATGTGCAGAGGTTCCTAGGATTTGGGAACTTCTATCGTAAGTTCATCCGAAACTTTGCCCACCTGACGGCGCCCATTACGGACTGTCTCAGCAGTAAGAAGAAGTTCGTGTGGACTGAGGAGGCGGAGCGAGCATTTGAGGAACTACAAAGGGCCTTCGCCTCGGAACAACAACTCCTGCATGTGGATTTACAAAAACCGATGAGAGTGGAAACTGACGCATCAGACAGAGCGATTGGGGCGGTGCTTCTGCAGCCAGGCAAGAAGGGGTCAGAGTGGAGACCGTGTGCCTTTTTTCGCGAAAGCTGAACAAATCCGAGAGGAACTACACGGTGTATGACCGAGAACTACTAGCCATTCATGAGGCGTTCCGGAGATGGAGGCACCTGCTAATTGGCGCACAACATAAGGTGCAAGTGTGCACTGACCACAAGAACCTAGAGTATTGGAGGACGGCACGAGTGCTCAACCAACGGCAAGTGAGATGGGCCCAGGAGTTCTCCAAATTTAACTTTGAGATTAGTTACGTGCCAGGCCCAGAGAACATTAGGGCGGACGCTCTCTCACGCAAACCTGAATATTTGGAGGGAGGGGCACCCGAAGAGAGACATGTCATTCCAGAAGACCGCTGGGTGTGTGGGGGCGGCATTGGTGGGACAAAGAGAACTGGTAGAGGAAACAGAGAATGATGAATACGCCCAGAATAAGCTCAGAGGTCTTAGGGGTGATGGAGAGGAACCAGGGGTTTCGAGGAAAGAAATGGAGCTTTGTATTACAAAGGGGCACTGTATATCCCTGAAGGAGAGTTAAGGGGAGGGTACTCAAGCAGTTGCACGACAGCCCTACGGCGGGGCATTTTGGACAACACAAAACCATGTGGTTGGTCACCAGGGAATTTTGGTGGCCTAAGGTGAGGAAGATGTACGTGAGTATGTAAGAGGGTGCGAGCAATGCCAGCGAGCCAAAGGGAAAGGCGGGCGCCGGCGGGGCTGTTAGAACCCTTACCAACCCCAGAACGACCTTGGGAGGCAGTGTCGATAGATTTTATGACTGATCTGCCGAAGTCCAAAGGGAAAACAGC